AGTTTATTCAACCAAACAAATTATATTGAATAAAATGCAAGCTTGAGGCCATTTATGTCATGCAGGTTTTATTGGACGATAACATGAATTTTGGTTACAATGCTGCTAAAGACTGTTACGAGGATCTCATGAAGGCTGGGATCATGGATCCAACAAAGGTATGGGAATTTTACATTAGAAATCTATTTATTTCAATAAAGGTGAAATAAAAAACAACTATACGAAGTAAATAAATTATCTAACCGATGAAAAACAAAAGGGAATAAAACCAGCTATGTGAAATAGAGTGTAAACTAAGAAAAGAAAACTAAGGTTAGCACACACTGACCAATTCTGCTATCTTGAAAATTGGTGCAGGTAGTTAGATGTTGTATAGAGCATTCAGCTTCTGTGGCTAAGTCATTTCTAACATCTGATGCTGTTGTGATTGAGCGCAAGCAAATACAGCCCATAACATTACCCCGAATGAACCCCACGGCTTCCTCAGACCTTCCTATGTCAAAAGATCTTGCTATGTCAAAAGCTCTTGCTACGTTAAAAGGTCATTTCATTTATTCTTTTCATTATGTTCAGTTCCTACGTTACTTTTGCCTGTTAGTAACGACAGAGTTGAAATTTGGTTACTCAGGTTTGGGATCAAAGGGCTTTTAAAATGGAAATGTCAGAGTGTGAGCAATGAAGAAGCACTAGAAATTAATCCACCTATACTTTGTACAGATGGTGGCATTGATCTATCCTAGGAACCACAAATGAAGTCAATGAAAATTGAAGTGTGACTATGTGAAGGACTCAAGGGGAAGATATGAAAATTAAATCCTCATGTTTGCAGCAGAAGGAAAATTTAGCTGCATTCAGTGACTACAGTGTCTAATTCTGGTGGTGGATGTTAAATCAAATCTTTTACTTGTTGTAGGAAATATGAAACTTGTCATCAAATTGCATATAAAGCAATTTTGAGAGATGAATCAGAATCACATCCCCTGTAACACAAATTTATTTCGGTTTTAAGTTATGCCTAAATTTTTTTTTTACTATACTTAAATCAGACTATGAAAATGCTAGAGTATAAAAAAAGTATGAAAATGTTTAAAAAATAATGAAAAATAGAATAATAAATTAAAAGAAAATATAATCATTATGCTTTAGTTAATTTTCATAACATAGTTTATTATGCTTGAATAAATAACAAATATCTCACTCACATCATAAAGATACATAGGAATTCCTAAGAGTTACAATATCGTAACCTTGCTGTTATAACCACATGTTGCACTTTTTCTTCTACTTGTTTGTGAGCGAAAATTGAACCCCATGTCTCACAAATGTTTTCAGTAATTGTTTATGTATCTAAAGATACGTTACAATTATCATTTAAGGAAACCCAACCAAATTTAGGGTTTTTCTTAAGCATGTAATCGTTAATTTGATTGAATGGGTGGTTAATTAAGGAAAAAAGTATATATATTTTTTTCTTTACATACTATTTTTCACACGTGAATTGCATTCAGCGATTGAGAAGGGGTTAGGGCGAAAAATGGAATCGATAAACTCCGATGTCTCTATCTTGCGTACCGATCACGTCCTCCCTCTCATTCCCAATTCCTCACATGGTCCTCTCCATCATCTTCTGACATCAACACCGACAACATGGCCATTCTGGTGATGATGGGATTGGGGCTATTGGACTTCCTCCTTGCCGGTTTTTCCTTGTTCATCGGCCTGGCCTTCATCGCCTTCATTGCTTCCATTCTCTGCGCCGCAGCCTTCTTCAACAACGCCAAACACGTCTCCTCCTGAATCCTCCATTCAACGCTTCCATCTTCACTTTCACTCTTTCAATCTCTTCTATTTCTTTTTACAGCGGTTAGAAATTAGGAACTTCTGTAAACTATTCAAATCTAGGGGGTTTGGTTTCATGTATTAAAGTAGATTATTTTTTTCATGGTTTGTTTCAAGTATTTAGAACTGTCCGTAATTTTGGATCCAGCGTCAATGCGGCTGCAATTGTCTGCAATTGTTACAATATCCAGGTTGCAACGAAATCGAAACTGGGCTTCGATTTAAAATCATGTTTTGTCTTTATTCAGCTTGTGTGTGTTTAGAATGTATTGTGTTTATTAATTGATTTTATTTTATTATATTTTGCAGTTAGAATTAGAGTTTTATCTAAATAATTTGTGTAAAAAATGTTTTATCTAAATAATTAGTACAGGTTTTGAGGAATATGATTATGGATTCACGTAATGAATCTATTCAGAGAACAAGTCTATAATCTCAGTGTGTATATATTGAATATGGTTTCTTTCTGACTTTTACTGTGTATGATTGCTTGGTTATACGGATCTACTGAATATGTGATAAGGTTAATTTTGAAAAGTTAAAGGAAATGAAGAGAGGAAGAAGATGCACACAAGAACAAAGGCTATCAGCTACGACACATATCGCATTCTCGAATAAAAACTAGGTCAGTTAATGTACCTTTAACCTATTTAGGTATCCTCTACTAAATTATGTGAGAAATGTTATTTCTAATTGTGTAACAAATTTTGCAACTGTGAGAGAAATACAAATGTAGTAAATTACATGATGAGTTATTGTATGAATTATCTTGAGTTGTTGGATAGTAACTCATCTTAATTAATATATTTCGTAATTGTTTTCATGTTGTTAATGCATCATTGATCAAACATCCAAGAAACAATTTCATATGTTCAAAAACCATGTACAAGGAATGAGATTTAAAGGCCATACCATCGCATAAACCTTTAATTAATCGGATCCTAAAACAAATCAAAGTATATGATATCAATATCATTATTATAACACAAGGTTGATAGAAGTACTCATAATCTAGAGTCACCATTCAAGGTATCTACCACATAAAGTAACTCTACTAAGTTTATATATTTTTTCTCTCTGAATATCTTGTTCAAAATCTCTTTCTTCGGAAACCGAAGCTTTGTAATGTTCCAAATGATGAAGAATAGCGGAAATTGTTCTCCCCTTTAAGCTCTTATTATATCTTCTGAAGACACATCTACTTCTCAATTTTACAAGTAGATTAAATTAATGTGATCAAAGAGTATATTCAAATCGTCTCTGTTTGTGTAATGTGTTCTTTGATCAACAAGCACTGAAAAATATGTAGATTAGGAGATCGATCCCATAAAGTTTCATTAGTCATTAGTGAATGGAAGTTGGGATTATGTAATGCAGTTCATTTTAAAGCAACTAAATTGATCGTCTCTCTTCAAGTGAGAAAAGTAGCTACTGCTAGAATTGCTATCAGAATTAGAATGTTATAATTGTAATTTTACTATTTTCTCAAATCACAATATCAACTTTAAAGATAGATCTCTCATCATCGGATTCAAAGTATAAATTTAACTCTTAGAAGCTGAGAAAGTTCCAGAAGTATCATCATGTATCAATAAAAAAACATTTATAAACTTTAAAATCATTGATTTTCTTTTATCAGGATGTTCTACAGAAGCCATATTCACTACAATAAACAGAAAAGAATTATCATTCATTATGCTTGAAAATCATCGTGATCAAATGCATATCTTGTTCATAAAAGCAAATTTCAGAAGGTTGATTGATAGTATTGTCAAAACTGTTTGGGTAAATACCTAATGCAGGTTCAATTATTTGCAACTAGTGTTCCAAACTTTGATTATGACATTCATGACCGCACAAGATTGATCTCCCCCATCTATACTGACAAAATTAATGATAATTTCCTATGAGCTGTTTATCTAATATTGCTTCGTTGGTTTTCATGGGTTAAGGGGCTTGAGAAACGAGACAGGAAAAAGTAGGGTACAGAATTGAGTTTCACCATCTTGTTACTGAGGAGTTGTGAAATTTTGATAAATAACTAGGAAAGATTAAACCAATACATGGATAATATTGTTAATTGTTCAGAATCAAACAATTTTCATAATATTCAAGGGTGTATATATAATTATAACAAACTTTGTGGTATGACTGTATTATTAAAGATATGATTCTACATATTCCTCTGATATACTCATGTAATAACTATTAAGTTATCTTCGTCATTGAATGGATTAAAGAGTCTATTGAGGTGCTTCCTCTTAATTTTCAACACCAACTTTTAATGAAAATTTTATATTCAAACTTAAATACAAATAATGTATTAGAGTAAATTATAGCAATACCTTAAGTTTGTTATAATTACATATACAGCCCTTCATTTGTTTGACCCTCACAAGCCCCCTTAATTTAATATTTATGTTACACTCGCACCATCTTCTCTAACAGTATTAAACATATTACATATACACTCTTTCTATTATTAAATTTATTCACATATGCCTCCTCTTTTATTAAAGTTATTGCACATACACCCTCTCTTATTAAATTTATTACACATACACCTTCATCTACTATTAAAGTCTTTGCACATCCACCCCGTGTTTTATCTATCAATTATTCACATAATACCCCTTCCACATTTGATCATGATGAAGGACGACAGCACAACAACCAAGCTTCTACAAATCACTCATTTTACCAAGATATAGAAAACGGGCCCCGAAACTTCTGAGAGTGCACATACAATTTCAGAGAGAGACTCGAACAAAATACACCATTTTTTTGTGGATGCTAAATGAGTTAGTCTCGCCCTAACAGGCGAGGTTAAACCTGATTCAGGTGATTCGTCTTGTGAAAATGAAGGAATATTGAAGGAGCGTTTGCAGAGTTAAACAAAACGGAATGCATGTTTAGTTACAACAATAAGTATTGCTCTAATTTTTCTATATTATATCTATATATTTTGAGAGACAATTTGATCTATAAATAAAAATTCTATTTTAATATTTAACACAATAACATAATTTTGAATTTAATTATTGATTAAACTAGAACCATCTTCAGCTGATAAAATGCATGAAAATGAAAATTGGTACTCTTATATTCTATAATCAATAAATTAAGGAAGAAAAAAAACTCAATTACCAAAAAAAAGGATCCTATTTTTTCTTTAGTCTTTTGGAGTACACCATTCCCCGGATGCCATCGGGATCAGCGACGAAGCCCAACGGGCGGTAAAACCCGAGAACGCGGGGCTCCGAGTAGAGGGCAATATTGGAAATTCCTTTCCCCAGAAGGTCCTTCAGCAGCCTCTCGATAACTGCCTTGCCGAGTCCAATGCCCTGGAATGACGGGTCCACCACCACGTCCCATATGATGGCGTTGAAGACCCCATCGCCGGTGGCCCTCGCGAACGCCACCGGCCGCTGCGTCCTCCGGTGCTCCACCCACAGCACCGCTTCCGTGTGCTCCAACGCCACGCGGATCTTCTCCAGGTTCCGCCGCGGGAAACCCACCGCCGCGAACACCGCGTTCAGCTCCTCCAAGTCTAGTCCCTCCGCGCCGCGCCGCAGCAAAAACCCGCGCGACTCCAGCGCCGCGTCGGAGACCGAGAGCGGGTAGTCGTCGCCACAGGAGGAGGATGACGAGGACGACGACGTCGCGACAGAGACGTTTCGGCGGAGAAGTCGTGCCGGAACTTGGCGGAGACGGAGAGAGGGTGGAAGAGGAGCGGAGATGGTGCCACGTAACAACATTGTTTATGGTGAGAAGAAAAGTGTTTTGAATTTAATTTATAATAATATTATTATTATTAATAATAAAATTTGGATTGTTTGTGTGGAATGGAAAGGAGGCACGGAAAGGGAAGTGAAGTTGTGTGTCTGTTTGTTTTCCTTCTTTGTGGCTGAGACAAAGCCTTTATGGATAACGTGGTTTTTCTGACGTTTTCATTTTTTAGATAAAGAGTAAATTTTTTTTCATTCAAACACCTTATGGGAAAGGGCGTTAATTTTATACCATTTTCAACCAATCATTTTGTACTCTTACTTTTAAGTAACTTTTTTCCTTGGTTATTCTGTTGTTAACATTTTCCGTATTTTTTTTTACATATAGTAATTTTAGGCTTTTTGTTATAGAAACCCTTTCATTTCATTCTTTAATATTTTCTTTGGCTTTATTTTTATTTATTTAAGGTTTACTTTATTTTATAACTCAGCACATATGTATTTCCAATTTTAAGTTTATATATATCTGCAATTTCATCACTACATAATTATTTTCTCTGATTTGGATAATTTTATTGCATGTAATTGTTCTGATGTGTAACATCTCCCCTTGTAGAACCGGCACGGGGATTGCAAAATATTTGGAGACTCGGAAAAAAAAATCTACTTTTTAATTTTATTGTTGTTTTGAAAAAGTTAACTTTGATTTATAACTATTTTGATAGGTAATTGAAGGATACTAATGTGTGTTTTGGGTGGAATGACTTATTCAAAAATTATGTTACGGTCTAAATTATTTGTATGCCTTAGAATAGGAAATTATACAAACAAAATTAAACTCTTTTCTATTGTCTATCTTGAACAAATTTACACTAATATATCTACATTACATGGATGAATGTTATAACATTAATGTTCTGTTTTGACTGGAAAGTGGATTTATGGGAGTCATGAAGAGGAGAAAAAGAGTGAAATATAAAATTATTTAAAAATTGAAGAGAGCATGATTGTAACAAGATCAATCCAATTATATGATATTTTAAATGGACCAAATTTAGTCAATCATTATGTTTTATCCTAATATGTATATGTAGCATCTCAGTTATTAGATCATCGGAGTCAATCAATTTTAAATTTATGTAAAAGACTTTTATTAGGTTTTCATAAATGTTATTTGTAAATTTATCTAACACCTTGAAAAGAAAGGTGATGTGGGAAATTGAACCTAGTCATAACTTAAAAATTTTAAGTTTATTACCTTTGGTTGTATTTTGGGTATGTGGATATAATCTCTATAATATTTTTTCATTTGTTGTTCGTTGCTAAAGTAACAATGTTGAGAAAGGAGGCAAGTTAGAAGGACGGATTGGTGCATACTCTTCTATAGTCTTTTTCCCCTATTTTGTGACCCATGTCTCTGTCTCTTTAGTCTTAACGATGATGAAGACATGATTGAAACCTGTAAATGTAATAACAACAATGAATGGAAAACATAAGTAGAACAAAAACATATTAGAACATAAATAAAATTAGTAAACCTTATATTTGACAATCCTACCTTAATGCAACAATTAAACAACATTTTCGGATCAATACATGGAGTTGTCATAGGTTGAACAATAGTAATCAACATTGAACATTAAACAAATTCAATTGACAAGTTGATGTATTGGGTTTATTTGAATTTGTTTAATGTTCAATGTTGATTACTGTTGTTCAACCTATGATAACTTCATGTACTGCTTCGAAAATGTTGTTTAATTGTTTCATTTATGTAGGATTGTCAAATATATGGTTTACTAATTTTCTTTATGTTCTAATATGTTTCTATTTGACCTATGTTTCCCATCCATTGTTGTTAATTATATTTACAAATTTCAATCATGTTTTTATTATTGTCAAAATCAAAGAGACAGAGACATGAGAAGTAGGAGAAAAAGGCCGTAGAAGAGTCTGCACCAACCCCTCCTCCTAATTTACCTCCTTTCCCAACATTGTTAGATCATGGTCGTTACTTTAGTAACTAACGACAAATGAAAAAATAATGGAGATTATGTCCACAAACCCATAATGCAATCAAAGGTAATGAACTTGAAATTAGACGGTTAGTATTTAAGAAAACTTCATAAAAGTCTTGTACATAAATTTGAAATTAATTGACTTCGATTACTTAGTAACTGAAGTATTACATATGCATATCAGGATAAAATATGATGATTGACTAAATTTGACCTATTTAAAATATCAAGGTCGTCACTTGTTGACATCTCTAAAGATCTCGAATATGATAGAGATGAAACATTGATTGCGATTATTAGACCGAAATTACAAGATGTTGGTAGTTTGACCGTGGATGACAAACTTTTACATTATTTGTATGTACATATTCTCAGTCATCACGGATACAAATATGCTTAAGTCTTACAATATTATATATTTATGATATGGTGCATAAATAATCATATTTCAATTAATTGACCTCATTATATCATCAGACATATGAGTAAATGTAAGACTAATAGTATGTCTCTATCTTATGGTCTTCTAATCACTCGTATTCTACTGTATTGTAGCTTGGACTTGATTTCATAATCAAGTTACTCTCTAGGAAAGACAAATAAATTTAATGAGATATCTCTGAAAAAGTTAAATATCGTAAATGTTGATGGTGCATGACAATATAACAGGGTCACTATCTCTAACAACCTGACCTTGAGCAAGATCAACCTTCCCGTAAAAATGAAGATGAGAGAGTTAAACAAGTACAAATATCCGCTCAAGGAGAACAAGTATATCTTCCCCACTAAGCGGATACTATAAACTTAATATGAGGAGATATTTAGGATACACGAATACGCATGAGTAGATTTGAAACTAATGTTGAAAATAATTATGAGAGTCTTTAAAGAGAGATTAATTATGTGTATTATAGAATTGATCAGGTAAACTTGAAGTTAATGTTGAGAATAATTATGAGAGTCTTTTAAAAGGAATTAAATATGTGTGCTAGAGGATTGATTATATTCTTGAGAATCTTGAGTAAATATTTCATTTATGTTATTTTTGTTATCACTTTATTTTTTTTTTATTTAAATTTTTATTAGATAACTATATTTATTTATTTATTTTAGGTGATTGTACTTTTTTATTTTGGATAACTGAAATTTATTTTCTTTTAATTTTTATTTTAGATGACTGTAATTTTATTTAGATAATTATATTTTTTTATTGAATAATTGTAATTTTATTAATTATTAATGTATATTTTCATTCAAGTTTCATTTTGAATGAGTTTAAATTTTGTTGGATGACTGCATATTTTATATATACATTGTATTTTATTTTATTTACTATTTAAATATTGGATTTTATGGGAAATCAATTTTTTACAATTTTAATAAAATTTATAAATTATTATTAAGGTAATAAAAAAAATTAAATATTCTTATAAATATCACAAATTATTTGTGTATTTTATATATAAAATAAATTTAATATACCTCACAATTTATGTATAATATAAATTAATTATTTTAAATTATATAATAAACTAATTACTTTAAATTATATTATAATTCTAATTTATATTTATTTTATCTTTTATTAATACAAAGATATTTTAATAATTACGTATTTTAAATTATTATTTTAATTTTTTTATTTAATCACAGTCCCAGACCAATAAAAATATTTAAAGTTGGAGTGGTAATATAGAGGAAAATATTAAAATTTGGTATGGTTCTTTCATGAAGTCATTAAAAATAATGGTCCATGATTCAACTTCATCAAACCTTTAATTTCTTCCATAAATTCTCATTTATTTCAGTATGCTATGTTACTTTGTTTTAGTTCTTCAACATAATTTTTTGCTTTTAGTAACCTTTTGACATGTTTAACTCAATTGACTTTAAACGCTTAAAGTCAAGTATCGCATTACTATATATGTTATCAACATTATATTTCTTAATATTTCAATTTGTTGAACCCAGTTTAACTTTCTAGCAATGGTCTTAAAAGAGAATTTAGAGACAAAAACTTCCTTTATAACATTAGTTACTTCTTTATTAATAATATATATTCACATCTTATCTATTCATTTTTAGGTCATGTTTACTCGTTTCATATCATATACTTTTAATAATTGTAGTTTGACTAAATTGTAATAAACACATAAAAACACTTAAAATTGGATGGAAAACTATAAATAAACGGATTCATTATGTCATCTCAACACTGTATTTAATTAAAATGGTGTTATTTAAAAACATTAATATCTTATTATAAATTCTAAAATTCTTATTCAGATTTGAATATTTGTCTTAGTTATTATTAATTAAATAAAATTCTTTCAACACTTTAAAATATTTTTTCTTAAAACTCTTATACATGTTGCTGTAGTGTATTAGATGCATTATCTAGTTAAAATATTAGACGTACAATCCAATCTATGGTCCAATAATATATTAAATACAAATGGAGCATGGTAAAAAATATTAGATGCATAGATAATTTTTTGATAATCCAATTGTTTATAAAAAGTTTACTAAGAAAATCTTAATTCGATAAGTCTTGGAATAATTTCCTAATTTTTTTTTATGACGGGTGAATTGAAATTGATTTTCAACTTAAATAATTTTAAGTAATATGATAATATGATTCAATCTGACCTAATTTATAGATTGAGTTTTTTTTTATTATTATTATTGGATCAAATTTAATCAAACTTAATATTCTATATAGATGAAGGGATAAGTTTGTACGTTGAATCTAAGACTTAATTCAATTTATTAAAATAAAAAATATTAAATATTAAAATAATATATTTTAAAAAATTATTAAGAAAAAATTAATAAATTATAAGAGGATTAAATTAAATTAAAAATATATAACCCAAAATTATTCTACTGAAATGGTTGATTAGCTTAACTAAACCCAACCTATAATCAGAGGATAAAATATGAAATGACTTTAAAAATATTGTCGCTGTCCACGCGCCAAATTTGATGGGATGGTCTCAGTCCATTTTCTTTCCCTAGAGTTGAATTTAAAAGGAAACTGTATATTCATTATCTATACCTACCCACATTTATTTATTTATATAGTCTACATAAAATTAATATTTTCAAATTTTGGATTTTCAAGTATTATAATATTTTAAATATTATCATATTTTGTTAATTTATTGAATAATTATTACAAAAAAAATATTGAACGTTATTAGAAATCTACTCTCGCCATCTGATAGACTTCAGCTTCATGCAGAAACATTATTTTTTATATCAACTTTTAAACATTTTTACATTCTGCAATACTTACATAGTCTATAATGAAACAATTTATAAATTTAGAAACAATGAAGCATGCTGCATTTAAAAGAAACTGTTCACAAAATCATGGTTTCGTATGGAACAGCAATTTGTAGTGAAATGTGAACCCAAATGTACTCGGATAAAAATAGTGGGAATATCCCTTCTCTTAACGAGGGGCTGAGTGGATGTTAGCGTATTCTGTCTTCCTATCTCCATCCTCTGCAGTTGTTTGGTACGTACGTTGCTTTCGTTGTTTTCAACCATGTTTTTATCTTTGAGTAATGAGTAATTGGTTTTTCTATTTTAGTTGCACTTTCTTCAATGAACTAGTTACACACTTTCAATTTTCTTTTCTTTTGGTTTGGAGAGTCCCAAACATGCAATAATCACGACAATACGCTGCTTCACATTATTCATTCTTATCAATATTTTATTTTGTTGTAAACAAAGATTCATTCTTATCAATACAGGACTTCATATATCTGCAGATACAGTTCCAACACCTTTATAGTTATCTGATAGTAAAGATGAAAGAGAAGACCAGTCTGCACGCATAAAATCAATAAATGTACATTTAGTAAACAACCATTCTACTTCCATTACAGTATAACTTAAAGATAAACATTTCATTGCTTCTTATATGATTCAATACCATTTTGTTTAACATAAACCTTCCAATTTTTTTCCTCCAAGCTTCACTGCCTTCACATTGCATGATTGGTCAGTGAGTTTCCCTGTTGGTAGAAGAATGGGTTCAACACCCTAACCATATTTCCAAGATGAATAATTCAGCTATTATGTACCTATGCCCAAAAAAGAAAGCCATCATCCTTTAAGGAAGTTCGTTTCAATGCTCTGAGTGTAGAAAGTTTGTATAGGACTAAAAACTGATGCCAAAAATTGGAATTAAAGCAAGTTTTAGGCATTGGTAACTAAAACAGTAGAGTGTAAGCAACTCCTTGACTCTCAGTTCAGGTGGCAAAACTGAGTGCTGAATTGTGAGTGAGGTAACAATCCATGCAAAGGAAAAGTATTGTTAACCTCTCACTTATGTTGCAGAAATAATAGCACATATTCATACATTGGCTAATAATACATTCCTTACATATAAGGATACACCATCCTTTCCTTGAAAGTTAAACTCATAAACTCTTAGCAGATGTATCACTTTATTTTTTATTTTATTTTTTGGTTATCTTAAGTTTCTTCATATTATAGGAACCTTGATAACTTGACCATCTATGCAGGCTGAAAAAATATCTTACCTGGCTCCTCCTTAAACATGACTAGCAGCAGTATCTGCCACAAGCAGTGAGGACTCTTCTTTCTCAACCATTCCTTCATACCTTTTCTTTCTTACCTGTTTGGTGGGTCTCTTGGTCAAGGGGATCTTCTCATTATCATTATCTGTATGCTCAGTGAAATCCAAGCCATGACTTCCCTCGCTGTTTAGGCATACAAGTTGAAGGTGACTTGGACCAGAAGCTGCATCAGAAACCATGGAATCATCACTCTCTTCATCTGTATCTCTGTTAAAGTCAACATTGTTCACTCCTTTGTTGTCATCATCATAAATTTTTCTATGAGCATTCTTGTACTTGTTGCCATAGTCTCTAATATCTGCACTATGCTCATCGTCACCATTGAAGACTTCATTGTAAATAGGAGATCCAATATAAGTGGTCCATCCAGACTCAGTACCATTGAATTCCACTTCTGAAGCTAACTCTTGGGAAGGGTCCATGGTGAAGCTTTTGGCACAGGATAACAAGGCAGCCTAGAGAAAGAACAAAGGAAGCAAAAGAAAAAAATGAACTCCTACAAATTTGGAACTTGGGTTTTGCTTTCTATTGTCAGATGAAATTCCACTGATATTTTTATAATCTCTCACCCTTCCTCCAAATGCTAACATTCAGTTTTACAGATAGGACAAAAGCCCTATCTCAACAGTGTAGGTTCAACCCTCATTATTTAATTGACAGTGTACCTTTGGTTACCTGGCAATTCTATCACCATGAGCTCCATTGATCCAATCACTAGAAGACAAGATTTTTGGTAAGTATACAATAAAAGTAGAACTAGAAAGATTGCACTCAATCTAAAACAGAGAAAATTTAGGGTATCTATATTGATGTGTTCAATTAACCTTGGTGAATGTAGTCAACCTTCAATTATCTGACAATCTTCAATCAATAGAATAGAGGGTAGCTTTTATTAGGAAAATGATACATGAACAAACATACGTCTATTGCTTTGTACACATTCCATGCATTTTTCAACTTAAGATCTCAATCATACAATCAAAAGGAGTTATTATAGGAGATAAAAATTAAAAATTGAACACAGCTGTAAAATTAAATAAAATGGGTCCAACTAATGCTATATGAGGAATGTTTGCTCACTTAATAGTGTCTGCACATATCACAACTTCTTTCCTCTTATTAAGGTTGAGCGCAGATGATGCGTGCCCACATAATTTGTTAATTTAAACACATGTTGTCACTTTCCACCACACCTTCAAATTCAGTCATGTCATCAACAAGGGACAGCTTGCCCTGACAAATTAACAGAGAAAGCCAACTGGGTTTTGGCCTTTTGCTCTAGTTGGCTGTAATGAGAAAGGCATTTATGCTGCTGTTTCTATGCTCTCATTTCCTGCCTTTTTTTTCTTTTCTTTTTTTACAGTCTCTTTCTTCTTGAAATGGGACTGCCTTTATTTTTTCCTTTGTTGTTTTCCCTTCATCAGAGGCAGTTTGTATAACTGGTAACCAGACTTGTATTTTTCTTGTCAGGAACATAGTTCTGGATGCTATTATTTAGTGTTTAAAGGCATGGAAGGATCAATTGAATAGAGGAATGAGAGGGTTAAAATGTTATTTCTTTTCATTTCCTTGTCTCTTCTCCAATATTGGAGGTTTGAAAGAAGGTAACATACTTCAAATGTGTGGATTTTGTACTTAGAAAATTATCCTTAATTTGACTACTTAAGTGAATCTGAAACAAAATTCAGAATAATTTTTATTAGTAAAAAGTTAGATTTCATCAGACCTTAATTTATGAGGGAATGCATTAAGAACAGACATATTTTATTTAGAGTTTTTGTTTTAAGTCTCTGCTGCAAAAGTGCAAATAGACATTGAGGGAAGTGAGAGAGGAAGAGATACTTCTGCGATCCATGTTTAATTTAATTTCTGTCTATTTAAATCTTAGCTGTAGAAAATATTGCAGACTATGTGCAGTGTCTCGTTCACAAAAATGTCAAACATGCTAACTAAAAAATATTGATGTTATTAAGATAATTTTTGTAAAAGTGAATAAACTTCCACTGCAAATCTTTTAAATTTTATACGACTCCCATGTGGTTTAAAAACATTACATAACAGGTATAATGATAACAGTGAAAAAAATAGAGTAGAAGAAATGAATGAAATATGAGAAGATTTTATGATGTTATTATAATTTCTCGTTAATCATTAGTTATTGATAACATTGTATGATAAACTCTAGAGGCATTTAGATATAGTAAAATTAAAAGGAGATAAGTTTTGAAGTTGTATATAAGCTGAAGAGGTAAATTGTTGTAGCTTCCCAGTTTGACAGCATGAAAGGGACAATTCAGCAACTCAATCTACTGAGATGGCGTTATTTTTCTTGTTTAACTCTCATGTTCCCAGAAAGCCTTCAAAGCTCATCACTGTCTTTTTATTGTTTCACTGTTTAATTGTTTCAGTGTCTTCTTGCTTGTCCCTTCTTAAAAAACCAACACACAAAGTAGCTAGCACGTGGATGAATGTGGAGTTTACATCACAAGTAAGTAAGTATATGTCGTCATAACCACGATGGAAGACAGATCAGTGGCGCAGAGAAGTTGGCTCAGATAAAGGTGTCAAAAACGAATCACCACATAGCAGAAGAAGAGCATAAATCTTTTCTTGCATAGCTTCCAGAACCCCTCTCATTCACAAACTTTGTTAACTTCAAAGTAACATTTTTTTTGCAAAATAAAAAAGCTATCGTTTTTGTGCTTATAGGTTAAAAATACATGGAGTGTTGTAAAGTATTCCAGTATTGGTTTTATTTCCCACCTTTTGAAACAGTAGTTTTGTTCCTGATTCTTTTCGAATCCTTATGAGTTTTAAAAATTTACTTATATACTTTTTTCAATTTTAATTAATTTCTTACATATTTAATAACAATCGTATTTCGACAAAAAAAAAAACCTAGACAAATCGATATAATAATAATAATAATATTTATTATTATATTAGATTATTTGATGAATATTTTTCTAAACATAATTGTGAATATATAATCTTACTTTTATATAATAGTTTAATAAAATGGGACTTTTTTTTAACATAATCAAAATCTAAAACTCACTTTTAACAACTGGTCATAGTTTTCCAAGATTGAATTTTTGTCATTTTTGAATTCAATGTTGTTCTACAGCAAATGGGAAGGTCGTACCCGGAACTAGACTTCTCAACGGAAAACATTCCTAAAATTTAATAGAAAATATTTTAATAAGAAAAGTTTTTTTTTTTTTTGAAAAAGTATATATTATATAAAAACGCGACATTTTTATTATATATTAAATTAAAAATATAATTATGTTTACATTTCCACGGTTTGACCAGCTCTTTCCGTGGACCTTTCACATTTAATTCTTCTGCAAGGACTTGCTTCTTGACTGTTTGTTTCCCCAGAAAATTCCTCTCTGTCAAGCAACGAACCATGGCTACTTGGTTTCAACCCCTGATCTCCACTGGCTGGCACCAAGAATCCTACCCTGCCCTTCGAGATTTCTCCGTCGTACCCTTCTTCGCTCTCTTCTTCCCCTCCCTTCGCTTCCTCCTTGACACCTTCCTTTTCGAGGTACCACCACTTTTTCAAACGATTCTTCTTCTATCTTAATTGCTGCCACCTAATCACTTTTTAACTCCTGCTTGTATTATTATGAAACTTTAAAAATTCACTTGATTGCGTTTACTTTTACTATTTATATTCAACTCAGCTTCGTTACCACTTTTTGCCACCTTGGGAAGAATACTTGAATAATTGCTGGTGAATCTATGAATGTGATGAAAGTGTGATTTGACAACGTGAATTAATTAAATGTATAAGTTTTAGAATAATTGTTAAAAATAGTAAAAAATTTCAATTACATGAAAGGTAATCGTAGTAGTGAATTATAAGTAAATTCATTAAGTTTATATTAAGTCTTCAGGTTCAAGGTGCTAAGTGGGGGAACACAGATGCTAAGAGAATAGTCAGTGCTACATGTATAAAGTTGAAGTGGATTAATATTTATTAGATTTTATGGATATTTTTATTACATTTAGTCAATCTGAAATGAGTGGCATTTACAGAAACTGGCTAGACGATTGATTTTTGGAAAGCTCCACAAGATGATGGATCTTCAAACGTATGAGAAGAAAAAGAAGATTAGGAAATTTAAGGAATCAGCATGGAAGCTCGTTTATTTTCTATCTGCAGAAATTTTTGCTTTGGCGGTAACATATGACGAGCCTTGGTTTACTGATACAAGATATTTTTGGGAGGGACCAGGGAGTCAGATTTGGCCAGATCAAAAGATTAAGTAAGATTATTCATTTACATGCTCAACAATTGTGTTTTTTCCGTTACAATCTTTAATCTCTTTTTGCTAATTGTCATGTCTTTCTGTGATTTCCATGTTCCACTTAAGTTGGTTGATTGAGCAAGAATCTTTTAACATTTCAGGTTGAAATTGAAGTGGCTCTATATGTATGCTGCTGGATTTTATTCATACTCCATACTTGCTTTAATATTTTGGGAAACAAGGCGCTCTGACTTTGTGGTTTCCATGGGACATCATGTTACTAGTGTCATTCTCATCGTATTATCCTACACTTTTAGGTATGTTTTTCTCTTAATCCAAGCATTTGTTCAAGTATTAAGATTTTCAGTCAATGCTGTTATGTAATTGTTTAATTGTTTGAATGTGATCCATTTCAAGTGACAGAAGATACACCTAACTAATTTATTGGATTAATTGCTTTTTGTAACTTTTTGTTGTTGGTTGTTATGACAGCTTTCAGATGTTAGTTACCTATGATTTGCTTCACATGCTCATATTCAATACCAATACTTTTAAATAGTTCACATATACATATCCATGAAGTATCTCCAAGGCTTTAAAAAAGTTATTAAAATCTATGCATAAGAGAGAAGCATGCATAATATAGAAGCATAAAAGCATTATCTTTTGATGAACGACAATGGAGATCTTGCCAGAATTAAGCGACGTCAAACCAAATTATACTAGCAGCAATATTAAGAGACAGCATATGATTCAATCAGCAAATAAAGGAGCCATGGGAGAAAGGAACCATCAACAAATTCATACTTGTTTTTCGTTTGGAGGGCCATTTGCATAGCTCTAGCCCATGATTGACAATTCAAAACCTTCAATAGTGGGGAAAACAAGAACAAGGGACTGGTTTTCATTGGAATGAATGTAATAGTTTTTTGATGGATCTTACTAAGAGGAGGGGTTATTGGAAGCCATCAAAGTATCAAGGGAGGTCACAGGAAGAAGAACTAGAAGAAAAGTTGTCATCGGAAATTTTAATCTAATACCATATCAGAATATTGATAAAATGTAATTTGGGAGTCAATTCCGAACAAGATGGTCAAAAGAGAAACTAAAAAACTGAACTCTATTCAATTTTACTCTACTTCACTAGTTGATTTTGCTTCTATGTTTAATACACTGTGTATACTGCTTTTCTTTCATGTTTAGTACATTTTGTGTTTTGATTCTATGTTGATACTCTCAGGTTTGTTCGTATTGGATCCATTGTTTTAGCCCTTCATGATGCTAGTGATGTATTTATCGAGACAGGAAAAATGTCCAAATACAGTGGTGCTGAAACAATAGCTAGCATTGCATTTGTTCTTTTCGTTTTGAGTTTTACCTTACTGCGGATCATTTACTATCCATTCTGGATTCTTTGGAGTACAAGGTTTGTATTAATTCTGTTCATTTACATTCTATTTTCTTCTGTTGTATGTTAGAATTCCTTTGTGTATTCTGTGGCTACTAATATAGGTGAATTGTCCAATGTTCCTACTCAATTTATTGGAAAGTAAAAAAATTCTTAAACATACATTAAAATGATGATGATCACCTTGGTTCCTTCAGCTTCTGGAGTTGTCATCGTGGGGAAGTATAACACATTTTCTCTCCTACATTCTTAAAACAGGACTGATGAAGTACTAGTTTAAAATATACAATGCTATGAAATTGGTTCAACCTTTATTTTCTGTTTTTTCTTTTTTCAATAATGGTAATTTTATGTCTATTCTGTCTGATGCCCTTTTACCAAATAACTGCTTGAAATATTTTTAGTGATTTATATTTTATGTACTATTTTCGGAGAATTCACAAATCGTTGCCTTGATTAAAATCGCTAGTAGACTCTAGATACTGACAATTTTTGGTACCCTGTCCCCGACTTTTCACAGAATAACAGTTTTGTTGTGTAACTTCTGGGTCTTATCATCGTATGACATTCACTGGCCAAGGAGATTCTCATTTGGACCGTTTCAAAATCTGGCAAAATATGATAGAGTAATGCTAATTAAAGTCTAAAACAAAAGTTGTAGACAAAGCATATATCCTTTTTACCTTATTGGGTTTTCCTCAGTATTCGCTTTGTCACATCTAACTTTTCTGCACGTAAATATAATGGCACTACACACTACAAGTGTTTCGCAGTTTATCTAGCACTTCTGACCTGTCGATAGCATGTTCCAATCTGATATTTGTACTTTAATTTATTGCTTTTAATCTTCCAATACGCACAATATTGTTTCAGAGTGCAGAAGTTCTATTGATGCTAGAGCTTCCATCGTTGACATATCATTCTGTTCCTCCATCTAATGGTTTTATTCAATTTTCTCTTTCGCAGCTATGAAGTTGTTCTCGCCTTGAAAAAGGACGTGGTGGATGGTCCAACCTATTATTATATCTTCAACACTCTTCTATATTTCTTGCTCGTTATTCATATATATTGGTGGGTGCTTATGCTTAGGATGCTTGTTAAACAAATCCAAGAAAAAGGAAAAGTTAGTGAAGATATCCGCTCTGGTAAGCTGATATATATATATATATATATATATATATATATATATATATATATATATATATTTCTCTGTGTGTGTGTGTGTTTTTCTGAGATGAATTATTATGTATTTCAATCCTGTTAAGTTTTTTATAAGTATTTTTAGGAAAATAAAATAAAAGAAAATAACAACAGTTTCTCTGTTAGCTAATAAATTAGTTTGTAGAAACTTCTGTACCACCTTCAAAATCAAATTTTTTACCTATGTATAAGATAGTCTTAATTTATGGAAAAGCTTATTTCATTTTTTTTCTTTTCCTTTTTATCTTCTATAGATTTTATAGAAAAGTTTACCCAGACATATTTTAGACCAGAAAATATTTCATTGAATCATTCTAGATACTGATACCCTGACACAAGTAGGTTCATGTTTTGTTGCCTTGCTCGCTAGTTTGTTAACTTGTATCTGATTGTAACCTGCTTAACTTGACACTTTCCTTATGCAGATTCAGAAGATGAAAATGAAACAGAAAAACAAGATTGAATATGACTGCACTTTGATCAAAATGGTATCATGTTCTGTTCACATCGCGACTATTGCACAGACTGTGTGGCACCAAGATAACAATTTCAAAATCACCCTAAGGTTCTTCTTAAGTTACTTCCACTGCTGTGTCAAGCAGAAAATTTAGGAAGAAAAATATATGAATGATGCAGAAACGCTCCATTCATAGATGAAATCCCTCTCTCAACGTATTATGTAATTCATTGTGCTATCTTTAGGTACATTGGACTTTGAGATAAATGAGATTATTTGATTTTCTTATTGGTCATTATTGTTATAAAATGAGATGGAAATTATTGATACAGAATTATCATTACATCTTTCCTAGTCCTTTCCAAACTCCTACACAATCCCAACTTTGATTACTCTTTATATAGCTTCTTTTATGATACCAGCAGGATTAGGTTTATATCCAGAATTTCATTCGGAAAAGTGTCCATATCTGGTGTATGATCGCACTTTGAATAACTTGTCCCTAAAAGATCATACATATGGGAAACAAGAGGAAAAGTTTTTCATGATTTTCTGGATTGATTGCTGCGTAGCTGTCCTGCAAAACTAGTTATGTCATCTCTACTTCTTGAGTATGTTTAGATTCATTCCATCTTGTCACTTCCTATATTTGACACCATCTTTCACTCTGGTTTTTATATGAAAATAGATATTGGTTTTACTACATCTTGAAATTGATCTCTTTTTCTATGGCAAATCTAATTATAACGTTTGACAAGAAAAAAAATAGTATTTTATAATTATCAAATATTTATTATTATTTACTTTGATTTAAAATTTTAGTATTTATAATTATCAAGTAAATCAACATATTTATAATCAATAAAAAAATAATATTGCTGTTTAAATAATAAATAAAAGTAATATTGTTATTTAAATAATAATAATTAATATTTTCTTTATTAATTGTTTTATTTCACATATATTAGTGATTACAATTTGTTGTTAAAATATTAGTTATCAATATTTTTATTCATTATAGTATGTTATGAAATTTAGTTACCTAATGCAGTTCTTTTATCACGAAATGAATAATATAATATTCTGTCACTACCTGTTTTATATTCAAAGATTGAATTTAGCAATAAGAATTTTAGTTGCTAAATTGGTCTTATTAATATTTAATGAACAAAATATTAGTGACTATTTAGCGATTGAAAATGAATTCGTTGCTAATCAATTTTTGTTACAACTGATCCCAATTTCTATCTCAAATCTAATTATGTAATAATTAACCTTAGATAAATGCACACTTATCAAGATTTTAAAGTTATAAACACGAGTTTGATGAGAAAAAAATTGCAATAATCAGATGTTTACGACTATTTTTTGTAATTTTATTTTTTTAGTATTTATAGTATATCAACAGATTTTAATAGCATCAAAATGAAATATGTGAATGGAAAAACTCTTATTTGTGTTACAACAATCAATCCTAGAAGTCGCTAAAAACAATAATAAGAGTTAGACAAATTCATTATAAATTATTTAATTTCAAACTCATGATAGAGTCGTTTGATTATCCTAAAAATTCATATAATACTTTTTAATAGCTTAAAATTGTTAAATTTGTTTATAATAAATGAGATTGACAAATAACATGCAATTTTTTTTTCTTCGGGTAAAAGACATTGGACTCTAGCTTTTTTCTGTACTAAATTGTATCTACGAGGCTATCCATATTAAAATTATACAAGTTTTTTCAGTAAATGAAAATCTGGATAATAAAAGTAAAAAATCAATCATTTAAAAAAATAAAAATAATAAAGGGAGGAATCAAAACTACAATGAAAAGTTATGCTACTCCTACCAAAAAAATATACAAAAAAAAAAACGAAAATTATGTATATATAGCTTCAATAATAATTTATTAATTATGCAAGCCGTGTAACAGAGAAGCTGAGGAGGAAAAAGCAAACCCTGAGAACAAGCAAAAAGAAATAAAAGAAAAGAAAATACGACGAAAGGAAAGTGCGAGTGAGAGAGAAGGTTGGCGAAATGGAAGATGTGATAACAGAAGCAGCACCACCTTCAAGGTTCTTGGAAGAAGATCTAAACATCTTCACACCTCCATCCCCACCCCTCCCTACACCATTCCTCATCTTCCCCCACAACCAACAATCCCAACCCCTCAACCCCTCCCTCCTAATCGTCGCCCTCTCCCCATCCTCCCTCGCCCTCTTCCACAGCCTCCGCACCGTCTCCCCCGCCGCCTCCCTCCTCCTCCCCGAACTCCCCCTCTCCATCCCCGACCACGCCGCCAACATCTTCCCCCTCTCCCCGTCCGCCCTCCTCGCCGCCATCCCCTTCCCCGTCCCCGCCCCCCGCGCTCACGCCGTCGCCAAGGCCCTCCTCACCGGCCGTATCCGCCCCGACTCCGTCCTCATCCTCGACTCCTTCGCGCCCTGCAACTTCCGTGGCAAGCTCTCCTCCGATGAGGCCGTGGCGTTCAAGCTGGAGAACGCCGCTGAGAGAAAGACGAGCGGCAGAGAGAAGCTCTTGGCGGACTTGGAGTACTACCCTTCCGGAAGCGTTGTTGACGGGCTGGGGGCAGCGATTCTCGCACGGTGCCAGGTGATGAACGTGAGGGCGAGTTTGTGTGTTTCGTGGCCTCAGTTCGACGCCTCTGTGGTGTCGTTGATTAAGGGTTTACTTCAACTCGGCGTGTTGCGGGGATTTAATTTTGATTTGAATGATGGGGAGGTTTTGAAATTTGGGAGGATTAAGGATAGGGTTTTGCATTCAGAGTTGTATATTTGATTTGTGCCGTGGTTTTGGATTATATGAATGTTAGGTCTAATTCATTGTGTCTTTATGATTTTGCCCAAAGATTTTACACTGAAACATATTTTACATTTAAGCTCGTGTTATGACACAGGAAATTATTCTTGTAGTTTGTCAATCGGCATAGTTGGTTACTTGGGTTTTGGTTGTGGTTAATATATCATGGATCTGTTGATTTACTTTAGGAATGACCATGGATTACAAATTTGCTGTATCGCGGTTTATTTTTATTGTCTGACTATAGCTTTGTCTATGCATTTTCAAATGGTAATGGCTGTCTAATTTACATTAACTGCGGGTGTGCTTGCAGTTGATTCTCTGCAATATGTGATCTCTAAGAGCGGTGGTTCCTTGTAATTATAATCCGCTATCACTGATTACTCTCTTTTCATTCGATAACTGTTATTTTTATCTTGTGTGTTCCATTGCTTGAATAAGAAAATATTATTGATCTCTGTGCTTGTTTGAATTGCATAGTTGTGTTTTGTGGCATTAAAACTAGTTGTTTTCATCTTGGATCTTAAGCAAGGTTTTAATTTGTCAATTCACACCGTGACATATGTGTTGCACTAGTTGTCAACTGAATTAAGCGGTGGTTGCAGACCACAATTGGTTTGGAATGGCTGCAAAGTAATTGTGACTGGTCTATGTAAAGTGTGTCTCGAAATCAATTTTAATGTTAGTTGAAAAAATATTAGCTACTGGCCATCAGCTGAAAGATTTCAGATGAGAGGTACACATGTAGTGATGCATGTATAGGTCTATGTATTTATGTGTATGTGTGTCATTCTTATGTAATCGGGAGATATATACAAACCACCTTCTGCAGCAACACTGAAACTCCTACTGTGAAAAATCAGAAGAGTTGACAGAAATATTGAGAGTGTGAGCAACAAAGAAAAAAGCTTGATATTGTTGGAATTATTTTCTGAAGAGTTTAAGAGAAAAGACAAAAGAAGCTAAGGAGAAGGGTTCTGTTGTAGGAAAAGCATTATCTTGATCACAATAATGTAATTGAAATTGCTTTCGCCCATGGGTGAAGATCACATTAGCTGAAACAGGCATATCCATTGTTAATCACCCTTATACCAATCTCTATTATTTTCTGGTTTACTGATTTTTTGATTTGTGTTTCTATGTTGCCTGTCTGGTTTGCAAGAAGAATATTCGTAACCCTATTTTCAGAACAGCTTGCAATATAATTGTGACACTGAAATTTGACCGCCACAATATAATACCTTCGAGTATAAGTAGTAGGAGTCTAGGAGGCATAGTTACTATCAGAAGAAGAAAATCAGTTCACCACAAGACCCAAGTCATATTAGAAGAAGACCAGTTCACCACAAGACCCTGACCCAATAACTAGTAAACCCTAGAATATGTCTAGATATTTCTTAGACCCAGTGTACTATTCCTGTTGAGCTGTTACAGCCAGTAATCCTTGTACAAATCAGTTAATTTGGTGTTGGCCTCTACAGGTTGATATATATGTACTTGTCATAGTAGTGAAAATCAGAACAATGAATACATTCTTCTTTTCTTCTATGTTATCTCTTATGTTTTTATTATTCTAAGTTTATTATTTTATGGTATCAGAAGTCCTACTGGAGCTCTGCCTTTTCTTTCTATCATATCATCTGCTTCTTCATATTTTGTCCAAGACAAAATCCTTGGAGTCCTTATTATATTCATCCTAGTGAAAGTCCCTCTTCCGACATTGTCACACTTGTCTTGATGAGAAAAAACTTTCACTCTTGGCCACGAACTTTCAGAATGGGATTCCTTAGTGGGACCATTTCAGTCCCAGAACCCACATATCACAAATACCCCTCTTGGGAATGTTGCAATACATTAGTAGTGTCTTCGTTGATAAATTCTTTATCACCATCCATTTCCAACAATGTTTTGTATTTTGATTCTCCTGTGAAAATTTTGAAAGACTTGAAGGAATGTTTCTCCCAACATGATCTCGTATGCATAGCAAAGCTTCAGAAGAAGTTTACAATCTCAAACAAGACACACAAACTGTCATTAATTACTTCATTACCCTCAAAGCCATATGGGAAGAGTTAGACAACTATCATCCCATGGGTCCCTGTACTTGTACAGCCAAGACTTATCATCAACTAGATTTCATAATTTATTTCCTAAAAGGCCTTGATGAACAATTTTTAGTGGTACATTCCCAAGTTTTACTCATTTATCCTTTATCCGGCATAAATAGAGTCTTTTCCATAATTATCCAACATGAGCGACAACAACCATAAGGTTCCACCATCCTTGATCAAAACAATTTTGCTAATGCACTTGAGCCACTTTAGTCTCGTGCAAAAAGACGCGAAACCTCTTATGACAGTGGAAAGGGGGTTTCGAGCAAGTTGTTCAAATACTATGGGCGTTTTGGTCTCATTGTTGATGTTTGTTACAACAAGCATGGATATTCCTGGCCACCCTCGTTACCCTAGTTGACCATGTTACCATCTCGTGCATCAAGTTCTGCCTCTGCAAATAACATTAAGATGCCCATTGCTCATGAAGACAATGGTAGAGAAGGAGATTTTTCCTAGGTGAGGCCTTAATGTCACTGAAACCCAATATCAACATTTATTGAGTCTTCTCCAACAAAATTAAACAATTGATGGTTTAGGTTTAGATGACACAACTAGCCATGTTAACCTCTCTTATTCTCAACCAAATGGGTCAAATGATTTATGTGACCAAAGCTTGGTAGCCCTTAAAGTTTTAAATATTTAGACCCATTCAATAAATCATGCTTAGGCATCATTCTATGGATAATAAATTCGGGAGTAATTGATCATATAATGTCTTTCTTAAAAAAATTTCAAGTTTATTTAAAAACAAATCTCATTCACATTAAATTGCCTAATGGTACCTGTAGTATTCAAAGAACTCGTTTCGTCATATGATCGATTTGTTGGGTCGGTCACGTGACAAGTGAGTTAGTTATGAAAAAATCATTGAAATTAAATCTTGCTTCTGAAGGGAAAGAAGGATCATAAGCGAGGGTTCTAACCCAATACTAAGGATAAATACAATGAGACACTAAGGTTAAAGGTAGAAAATAAATAGGAAAACAATATTGTTGTCAAGGGGAACTTAGAGTAGCGACAAGACCTTTGTCACATCAACTTATTTGGGTACATTTATTTCTCATCTAATTTTGTTCTCCACAATGTTCTAAACTTTTGTTTAACTCATTATACACTCATTTTCTCTAATTACTTTTACAAAATTATTGGTTTGGCTAATTTGCATAAGGGACTTTACCACCTAACTACTAATCAAGCATACTAGCTCACTTCACGACCTTTCCCCGTCAACACTATCATACCTGTTACTACATCCAACTTTTGGCAATTTAGATTAGGACACTTGTTTGGGAATCTTTTAAATATTTTGCATCAATATTTTCCTTTATTCCCAATTGTGTTCATGAACCTTGTGATATTTGCCTTTTGGCCAAACAAAAAAATTTCTTATTTGCCAAGTACTAACAGAGCTAGAAGATTTTTTTTTTCTTTAACTCATTTGAAGACTTTTTTTCCATAATTTTACTGTATGGTCATAAGTATTTTCTCACCATTCTTTACGAGTATAGTTGTTATACTTGAATTGTTTTAATGAAATTAAAGGTTAAAGTCAAATTACATGTACAAACTTGGTTGAAAATCAATTTGAAACAAAAGTTAAATGCATATAGTTTGATAATGGCCCTAAATTTTCCTAAAAATAATTCTTTTCATCCAAAAGCATTTTAAATGAAATAAGTTTTGTTGCTGACACCCCAATAAAATGGGAGAGTCAAATATAAACATCAACATATCATCCTTAATGGAGTCAGAGTGCTCATGTTTTAATCAAATTTCTAGTGACTTTTGATCATATACTATGAACACATACTAGGCCAACCTTTTTACCTTATTCATAATCATATGATGAGTCAACTAATGATCTCACACCTAACTCATTCACCTTTATACACCAAAATGATCATCTAGATTAAGACTAACCCATAAAATCTTTTGATTTCCAAGATCAACCCATACCATCTACTCTCATACCAACTAAGCAACCAACATTACAATGCTTCACTCGACCACAACATCGTCCCTCTCATTTTTCTGAATTCCAAAGCCAATTTACAAACCAATCATCACCAAGGTCCATTTATCCTTTGAACTCCATGCTCACATATTCTTGTTTATCTCCCTAACATCACCATTACCTGATGAATTTATCCTCAAAATCTAAACTTGTCAATTGTCTGATCCTTACAATATCAATGTTGGCAAGACGCCATGAAAGATGAAATTGATGTATTGAAGTTGAACTAGACTTGGAAATTTGTGGATATTCCTCCCTATGTTTGCCTCATCGAATGTAAGTGAGTATATAAAATCAAAGATTTGTCAAATGATACAAAGTTGTCTTGTGGCAAAGGGTTTCACTCAAATTGAAGGCATCAATTATTTTGTGACATTTTTTCTTGTTTGAAAATGGATACCATTAGAGTCATTCTTGCTTTCGCTTCCATTAATATAGTGGCATCTCTAATAGCTTGTTGTCATCAATGTCTCTCTCCACGGTGATCTATTAGAATATGTATACATGATATTACCTCTTGGTGTTTTTGGTTCACAATCAATGTTGTAAGTTGATGAAATCTTTGTATGACTTAAAACAAGCTAATCGAACATGGTATGATAAACTATCCATTTTACTTCTATCCCATGTGTACCAATAGAGTAATGAAGATCATAGCCTCTTTATCAAATTATATCAATTTGATTTCACCACCCTTTTAGTCTATATCGATGACATCATTTTGATTAGTAATTCTCTTGTTGAAATAACTAGTATCAAGCACATCTTGCACTCTCACTTTCACATAAAGGATATCTTGGTATGCTGAAATATGTTTTATAGTTTCAAATTGCCCACTCTGCTTCTGGTATCTCTATATGTCAACGCAGATATTGTTTTGATCTCCTTAATAACTTTGGCTTATTAGAATCAAAGTAGAGTCTGTCAAAATGAGCGACTCAGCTCAGTTTGGCATGATCCTATGGGTTAAGTAAAAAAAATTAATGATATAGTCTAATTTATATTTTAAAATCAATTATAATTTTTAGCCTAATCTAATCTTATATTAAGTCAACAGGTTAATAGACCAATTTTGACCTTATTAAATATATATATATATATATTAACATATTTATACCAAACACAATTAATTAAAAGTTTTTAAATAAAAATAATAAATAATTTAAAATTTAAATTATATTAATAAAATTAGTTTTTATTTAAGATATAATGATGTAATATATAAATTATGAGATAATGATCCATTCAATCTCAAAATAAGAGTTAAAAATCTACTATTCATTATCATCATTTATTTTTTAATAATTTATTAATTTAAAATAGTAATTAATCTTAATGATTAAATCTTAGTATAAATAGTTATTAGAGACTTATTCTTATATTTACTTTTAAAAGAAGTGAATTCCTTGTCAATTAATTTATAATACATATATATTTTTTTAATTAAATAATATTACATAAGCTTACATATTAACTCGACTTAAATACACGTAGGTCATGATTTAAACGGACCAAACCAAAATAAGTCTAATTTAATTTAGGTAACAAGTTTTATTGTCTAATCTAATATATTTTTTATATTTTTTTGAGTTGGTATATTAGACTAAATATATTTTTACACTCTGTATCTCTAAGTCATTCTCTACCTCTATGGATAACTCCCTTCCATTACACCAAGATTTTGTTATCAAACCCTTTACCATATCAGTGATTGGTTGGTTGCCTTATTTACCTTACAAATTTTCGATCTGACATTGTCTCTACTTTCACATCAGTTAAGTCAATTCATGTCTCAACATAGTGTTACTCATTTTCATGCTACTAATAGAGTTGTGCACTACTTGAAAGAATGTTCAAGAAAAGGCTTATTCTACTGTCACAACTCCCCCATAATCTTGTTGGCTTCGACGATGTTGATTGGGCCACTTGCGTGGGTACGCACAAGTCTATTATTATATATTATTATTATATACTATTTTTTTCTCGGGCATTCTTTAGTTTCATGAAAAATAAAAAATAAACACCATTTCTCATTTATTTGCAGAGAATATCGTGCACTTGCATTTGCATTCACTACTTAAGAATTATAGTGGCTCATTTATCTATTCAACAATCTTCGCATCCTTTCTTGCAAACCACCTGTTTAGTATTACAAAAGTCGGACTGCTTTGCATATTACTGTCAATGCAGTTTTTCATGAGCAAACTAAATACTTAGAAATTGATTATCACTGAGAAAAGCTTCAACGAGGTCTAATGAAGTTACTTCCTGTATCTTCATCTCATCAGTTGGCTGACATGTTCACTACAACCCTTCCTCCAAGCTAATTTGTCGTCTGCGTTTCCAAGCTTGAGTTAGTTGATATTTTTCTACCTCTAGCTTGTGGGAGGGTTTCACAAGAAGAAAATCAATCCACCACAAGACCCAAGTCATATCAAAAAAAGACCAGTCCACTACAAGACCTTGGCCCAATAACTAGTACACCCTAGAATATGTCTAGATATTTCTTATACCCAGTGTACTATTCCCGTTGAGCTGTTACAGTCTGTAATCCTTGTACGAATCCGTTATATTTGGTGCTGGCCTCTACAGGTTGATATATATGTATCTGTCATAGCAGTGAAAATCAGAGTAATGAATACAATCTTCTTTTCTTCAATGTTATCTCTTATGTTTTTATTCTTCTAAGTTTATTCTCTTAGTTAGTGTAATTTCATTCAATTGTCCTTCAAAAGTTGCATACCAAGCTGTAGATGTTGGTTATGAAGGACCATTGGTGCTTGCCTGATTGATAAAGCAATTTCCTTGTTTGCACTTACATTCATGGATAAAGCACCAATCTAGTGTTAGGTACGGGGAGTTAAAAACCTTGTAACACCCGTATTACAGATTCTCTCACCCTGGTACCATCAGTTGTGTAAACACCTTGTCCAAATTTCTCTAGAACAAGTTATTAACTTGTATTTAATGAATATGAGATCTTTAACCCAAACTATAATCAATTTGTTCACTGGTATTGCATTGTTTGAGGACCTGTTGTTTGGGGCATTGGATGTGTGATAGTCCTTGTTTTCAATGAAGGTTTTCTTAAATTAATATATTTGATGTATGATAATATGAACTTAGTCGTCTTTTGGAGACAAGCTGAATGATCATGTTAGAGACCGACAGGATCAGTATTTAAATAAAGTATATCTCGCTTTCTTTGTTTGCTCCCTTTGATTATTATTCTCAATTAGTTTTACGATAATAAATTTGTAATGCATTCAGAAAAAGGTAAAATAAATTTCAGTAACTCTTGAAATATCAAAACATGTCTCTGAAGCTACAATCTCAGTCTTGCTTGAATCCGAGTTACTCATTTTGTTGGGTTTTGTTGTCATCATCTTCTATTATCTCTTACATTACTCTATCTAGAGAGACGAGAGTGAGAAAGGAAAAAATAGAATTATTAAATTAGAGGAAGTCAAAATAGATGAGAATTTTGAGCATTTATTTCTATCTATTCTTAGAGTATATAGGCTTTTACTCGTGTACTTCATGATCATGTAACATATTTTCTCTTTCTTTTGTAAAACAAAGAATTTGACAAAGTCCATGTGCAATCTTATTCTTGGAAGAAAAAACAAGAAAGCCAAACGTGCAAATTGCCATTATATAAAACAATTGACCGTGTGGAATATATATTAATTTTCAGCATTGCAAAGATGGCTTCTGCCACAAGCAAACAAAATTGGTCACACAAAATTAAGGTGATGTAATGCAAAATGGTTAAACCTAATCTATTAATGGTTGGACTGTTAAAAAGTGACAGAAAACAGTAAGATGACAACAAAACATGCAAATAAATTTATTGAACGTTTATACCCTGTTAGATGCTCAAACGAGAAGACAATTTTGGTTGATTTCTTATAGAGAAAAAATTATGAACATAAAGTAAGATTAGCTGTTATTAGTTTTTGTTTGGTGACTGGCCTTTAGATTTTTGAGCAAACTGCTAATGGCGGGCGCAAAACATTTAATACCTTTTTTATTTATGTTCTATTCTCTATGGAATATATTACTTTTAGTTTAAGAACACCCACCAACTTAATCATATTAGTTGCATCCTCTCTTGACTCTTAGAAACATGTTTTCTAAGTACTCAAGTAGCCAATAAATGAACAAGGTGCAACACTCTACTTCCAACAATTTATATATAGTCTTGATTTCCAACCATCTCTCCCACTCTTCTCTTTTTCAAAGTTAAAGCAGTAACAATGGAGCCTTCCTTTCCTTCAAAATCCCTTCTGCTTGTTGTTCTTGTCTTTTGCTTTCTTGGTCCCACCAAATTATATGCAAGTGACCCTCATCTAACACTGGATTATTATGCATCAACTTGCCCCACTGTGTTTGATATTGTTAGGAAGGAAATGGAATGTGCAGTACTTTCTGATCCCCGCAATGCAGCCATGATAGTTCGGCTACATTTCCATGATTGCTTTGTTCAGGTTTGTCATTTACTATGTGGCATTTGGTAGGTTTTCATGTTATGAAACAAATTACATTTCATAGTACTAGTCACAGTTACATAATTATCTTAATAACTTGTATACTGGCTACCAGATTCATCTTATCACTTATCTAATTTTCTTTAAATAGTCTTACTGTAATGATGTAAAAAGTGAAGAACCACCTACTTACACAAACCATATGCGTACCTGTGGTAAGCAATAATGGTACCAGTAGTAGTTCTGTAGTGTCATTTTGAGGAAACTAAAAGAAAACTTATATACAATTATATAAATATTGTATGTTTTGTTCTCCAATTAGAATTAAAATTTTACTTTAGGAATGTGCATAATGTAAAACTCTAATTCTAATCAAAAGACAGCACAAACAAGACGCAGAGAAGTGTGTGTACTACGTTTTGTCAATCATATAATATAAAACCGATATGAATCCAATAGAACATTAACTAGATGGGAGAATATATTCATGAACCCAGGGATGCGATGGATCAATTTTGCTTGATGATACAGTCACACTTAAAGGTGAGAAAAAGGCAGCTAACAACATCAACTCTTTGAAAGGCTTGGGCGTTGTTGATAACATAAAAAACATGGTTGAATCAGAGTGCCCTGGAATTGTTTCTTGCGCTGATATTCTCACAATTGCAGCCAGAGATGCTGTGATTCTGGTAAAAGAACCCTTTTGCTTCTCGATTTCATCAAATAGTTTATGCAATGGTTTTCATAAATTGTAATCTTTAATTTTCTACATAGAAGTTGGTAGAATTATGCACATGCCTCTGTCCTCTTATCTCTTGTAGGTAGGGGGACCATACTGGGATGTTCCTGTGGGAAGGAAGGATTCTGTCACTGCAAATTTTGATCTTGCCAACACCAATCTTCCCGCTCCAGATGAGAGCCTTCTCTCTATCATTGCGAAGTTTCTTTACCAAGGACTATCTGTCACGGATATGGTAGCCCTTGCGGGTATGTTAAATTTCCTATTTACGCAAGGAAATCGTTGTAGATGTGAAATTCATGACAAATAGACCATAACATATCTTTAACAATTGAGGTTACTTATGTGATAGATATAGTTGAGTAAACTAATGCTAGATGGAGTGTATGTTACCATCAGATGTGTTATAACTAAAGTGGAGGATCATAGTGTGTTGTGTTCCAGTATGTGGTATTATTATGATTCTAGCAAACTTATATAAGAGTTAACTAAGTTTCAGAAAAGATTGTCTTGAGTTATAACCACAGCAAAACTCTTACAATATATTAAGTCGGAAAAGATTCTCACTTTTACCTAAACAAACAATTTTGTAGTTAAAAGGAGAATGAGTGAACAAAACCTTACAACAAAACTGCATAGATAGAATCAATAATCATAATATGATCACTATAACTGTGATCTACCTCTTCATCTTCCCTGCTTCTCAAAAGATTCCTAGCTGTATTCGGCACTTTCTTCATACCACATATTCTGATCACTAAGCCTGCAGGAGCCCACACCATTGGCATGGCACAGTGTAAGAATTTCCGGTCAAGAATTTATGGAGACTTTGAATCAACATCACTGAAGAATCCAATCTCTGAGAGTCACCTCAGCAACCTGAGATCTGTTTGTCCACCTGTTGGGGGAGGAGACAACAACATAACAGCAATGGACTATATGACACCTAATCTCTTTGACAATTCTTTCTATCAGTTACTACTAAATGGGGAGGGACTTCTCAACTCAGACCAAGAAATGTACTCAAGTTTGTTCGGTATTGAAACCAGAGAGCTTGTGAAGAAGTATGCAGCAGATCCTCTGGCTTTCTTCCAACAGTTCTCAGAGTCAATGGTGAAAATGGGAAATATCACAAACTCAGAAAGCTTCATCACTGGGGAAGTTAGGAAGAACTGCAGATTTGTGAACACATAAACTTCATTTATTTTTATGTACGTTTTGTTTGCTTCCACACACAAAGAACCACCAAATTTATGTGTTTCAACTACAACAAATTGACGTGTCAAAACTAAGCTAGCAATTATATATGAACAAATTAAGTGAGAAGTTGTTGATTCCCCTTTTTCATATGAAGTGTTGAGTTTGAAAATTAGAGTTGTAAGAGCCAATATGTCACGCAACAAGTTGCTTTTGAACCGTATGCCTTGATAAAGCTCACGTTAAGCTCTTTTATATGCCTGTAATCTAGATCCTTTTTGTTTCTCTAACATCATTTAAAAGTAACATAAAGCTTGTTAATTTTTATGATAATTACCTTAAAGATTGTATCACTAATGATTTCTAATGAGTTGACAATTTTTTTATTGATAGTGTATAAAAATTAAACTAATGGTTAATTTCTATAAAAATATGTTTTGTTGACAATGATTTCTTACTAAAAACTTGGACTTTTTCAAAATTGTCATGAGTATTTTGGTAATTTACATTGAAATCAAGATAGTTGTAAACAAATTCTCAAAAATTACTTTTCATATCTAAGTGAAATAAACTTTTAAAATTTTTTGCAGCAATTGGTTAAGTAGCACACACTAGAGGCAATTCAGTAATTTTTTTAATTATGATATGAAAATTATTTTAAAATCATTTTCTAAAAATGTGTACCGAAATTCTCAATTTCTTGGAATAATATATATATTTTTTAATAATTTAAAAAATCAAAATGTTACAACATTTTAGTAAATCTTAAAAAATATTTTTTTATCTCTAATAATTTGGAGCGAGCAAGAAAAATATTAATAATAATTAACATTGATATCCCTACTAACATCAATCTCTTATGAAAAGGTTATCTAAGACAATGCATAACATGTTACTTGGTTGATGGAGTAGGATTGACTTACTTAAAAGAACACGGTTTAAAAAAAATTTGCAATTTCATGAGTTAACATGACAGTGTCTTATTGGTTTGTTTTCACTCATTACTTTTCGTTCTTTTTCTTTTATTTATTTTTTTCTAAATTAAACATGTATACGTAAATTTATCTTTATAATTTAAAGGTTTTTTTTCTCTGAAAAACAGGTTTTTCTCTTTCAATATATACTTATAAGATTCTATATAGGCAAATTATATATTTTTATCATTTTTAACTATTTATTTTCTATAATTTTAATTCTAAAAAATCACGTAAAAAGAAAAAAATTATTTATTTTATTTAAATCGGGCTAGGAAGGGTCGAAGCCCAATTTAGTTACAATAAAATTTGGGAATCATATTCATGTCTTTTGTTTTCTGTACCTTCATATTTGTTACCTCTACATCCCTATTACAATGTGACGATGAAAATGATTTTATAAAAAAAAAATTTTTTCCATAATGCATTAAAAACTCTCAGGTTATACTTCCGTAAACATTAAAAAAAATTGAAAATTTCTAAATACATCCAAAAATACTTGAGTTCAGGAAAATGGAGAAAAAAATAGATAAAGTAAAAATAATAATTTTTAGTTATGTTTAGTAAAAAAAATAAGAAATAAATTTTACGAGCTTTTGAAAATAAAATCGCTTAAGAGTGATGGGGTTTTGTTATTACAATATCAGTTTTATTTCAAAATAATAAATAAATAATGTTAATTTATGTTAAGAAAAATATTACAATAAACTTTAAAATTTAAAACTTAATTTATTTTTTTAATTAGTGTAAATTTTTTTAAAAGAAATGATTTATTTTTAAGTACTCTCCTAATTTTAAAGTAAGTACATGTATTTATTTACTAAAAAAATTGTAGGTGCTTCACAGCTATTGGGGACAAATTTCCAGTTATTCCCAGTGTGAACACCTAAAAAGTAATGATAAAGTTGATAACTTGAAGTGATCATAATTACTTAATAAGCATAAATGGAAATCAAATCTAATGTTCTTCTTTTATAACATGGGAAAATTGTGTTAATTAAAATTGATAAATATAATTATAAAACAATTCTTAAAAGATTATTTCATAATCTAAAATCTAAATTATCTTTCTCAATTATTAAATTATATAATTATTACTTTATTTTTCCTCAAGATCTTGCATATTATTATTATTATTAACACACTTTGTACCAAAATATGATTTGAAGCATAAAGCATGAGCTAGAAACAGGGGCAGCACCCATTGCATCAATGCCCAATCCTCTTCACACGCCTTTGACACATTAAAGTGTTGCCCAATGCTTAGTTTTCATACCATTATGTTTTATTCTATATTTTCAATTAAGTTTTATTTTAATGCATATTTTAATTATATATTAAAACGTACAATTAATTGTACTTCTTATACATCTTTTTTTTTTTTAATTATTGAATCAAAGTCAAAGATTATGGGTACAGTGTACCCCACTGGTGACAGAAAATGGAATAATAAAGGGAGTGGTGGATATGTAAAACACTGAAGAAGGGAAATTGAGTGTTGCAATTTGCAAGTCAAGTCATGTCAGATTGAAATTCTTACTGATGTAGAGTGGATAAATTGGAGGGGCCAATGCAAAATGAAAAAGGGAGTATACCGATTATTTTGATTGCTAGACCTGGATTCCCAAATTCTTCTTCAATTTCATGTCATTTTCTCACTCACCTTTCATTTCCTTTCCTTCTATTTCTTGGTCGGGCAAATGGTCTTAGACAAAATCCATTACTAGGTCATATATGGGAAAGATGAATCCTTTTGTTTTTCTTATTTCACCACATTTTTTGTCAATAATTTTCATACCAATTAATATTATTATTATTATTATTATCAATAAATTTATTAATTTTTCATTAATATCTTTATCATCTTACTATTCCGCCTAACAAAAATATTTTTTTTAGTTCACAAAAGAAAAAAAAAGGTATGTTAAAAAATATACATCTTGATAGCAAACTATTTTGTAAATAATATATAGTTGATTTTTTTAAATATTTTTTATTATTTATCTTAATTTTATAATTTTTATTTAATTACACAATGATTCATTTTTTTCTCCCAAACAAAATTAATAAACGAAAATAATAAAAAGTTATAAATTCTCTTTATCTTTTTCAATTATTTTCAATCATATATTTACTTTCATCCTAAATATGTATAATTTTAAAAATAAATATTTTTTTCTTCTAATTTTTATCTCAAATTCATAACATTTTTTATTATCATTATTTAATATATTATTCTTTTAATATTATATATTTATTTTCATTTATTATTAATTTATTTATTTTTCTTTCAAATAAAATAAAAAATTGTCAATAGTCCTTTTTTTTTATTATCTCCATTCACTTATTCTCCTTTAAAAGTACGTAATTTTGGGAATAAATATCCTTTGTATTTTTCAAATTTTAATCCTAAATTTATAATTTATAATAAAATATAAAAAATTTTAACCATTTTTCAATTGTTTAATATATTATTTATTTAATCTTATATATTTTCGTTCATTTCATTATAATTTTTTTATTCTGAAAATGCGTAATTTAAGGTAGAAATATCTTATACCTTTTATTTAAACTTTTATAAAAAAAATTATATTTTTTCCTTCCCTATATTTCTCTATCATTCTTTCTCTCTTAATTGAAATCTTTTATATTAAAAAAAAATATAATAAGAAAATAAGTACATCCATATGCTTACTATTTTTAATATTATTAAGTTAGTACATGTTACTATGTACTTAATCATACGTGTAATATTTTATTTATCATAATATAATTATCATAGAAATGAAATAATAATAAAAATTAATAATATTTCTTGAAAAAAAATCAATAAATTTTTTATTAAAATAAATGAGGTAATATATTTGTTATTTAAGTTAATATTTATTTCTTTACATAGAAAATATTTTTAAAAAATATTTTTTTATAACGATAGAAATTATAAAATCAAGAATCTATTATTTAATGACAACTAACATAATTTAATAACAAATAATATTTTCAATATGTATAAAAGTAACGAATGAATTAGTTTCACCACATTGGCTTTAACCTGATTTATTTTATGGTGAATAAGAAAATTTGCAATTCAACTCAAATTATTATGGATTGGTGGGTTAGGTGTGTTGATTCACTAACTCATATATATTTATATATATATATATATATATATATATATTTTTTTTATAAGTACAACTGAATCATAGGACATGATAACGCAACAAATGCAAATGTGCGACAAAGTTGTGATGAAACTATAACTTGTAATTAAAATTTTATGGCGTAGTGACACGTCAAATACTATAACACAATTGAAATATAGTACCGAAATGCGACAAACGTTGTGACACGATTAAAACATGGTGACATAATAAACGTAATGAACACAATGCGACAAACAATTGATGATAAACTTGAGTGAGAATTTAACTTATAGTGGTAACATGAAGTAAAAGTAAAAATACAGAATAATATCAATTAAGATTATTAAATTATTATAATTATTTTTAAAATTAAAAAATGATAGATAAACTACGAACAAACTCATTATAACTCTGCTCAAATATATTGATTAAATAAGTCGATTCAATTTTAACCTAGCGATCAAAATATAAAAAAAGAATCAAATTTAATTCAACCCAAACCCAAACCCGTGACTAGTCGGGTTAGAACTCATATTTCACACTCTAGACGCTAATAAATATAAAAATAATACTTTTAAATTGATACGAAAATGTGAATAATAAGTTTGAAATTGATGATAAGTAATGAAAATAATAATTATTATAATATTATAATAACATTAAAAATAAAATAACAAAGATAATTATAATTAAAAATCATAATAATTTAATATAATTTGATATCTAATCTACATTTTATATTTATAAAAAAATTAAATTATTGTATAATATTTATATAATAAAATCTATGAATTTAATATTTTACATGGTTAATTTAAATCAATAATAATTATTGTTGTTATTAATAAATTTAACATGTTATTTACTTATAAGATATACCATATTGTTAAATTGCAACCTTTTCGAACTATTTTCTCTAATTATATTATATAATTAATTCATTAATAATAATGTTAAATTCATAATAATCATCAATAATATATTTAATTTATTAATTGTAATAAATTTATTAATTTATAAAGTTATTACTATTTTAAATTATAAAATTAATATAAAAATTGATATTTATTAATTTACACGCTATCATTTCATTAATTTTAAATCATTATATTATTATCAATTCATTGATTGGATGTAATTATTAAATTATGTCTATTTTGTAAACCATGAAGTTAATAACTTAAATAATAATTTCCAATTTAAAGATTTGTTTTTCAAATTATAATGTCTGGAATCCTGGAATCAAAAGTCAAGATTTATCATTATTATTATTTATTTATTTTTTTTGAAAATTTTTCTGTAAGGATGTTACCATAAATTGTGATGATAGTGATGGTGAAAATATATGATTGCAATGAAAATTGAAATTATGACTATTTCAATGTTCCCACACCAGAAAACAAAATATATCTCCAAATTGACAAACAACCTAGTGGGAAACAAATTTGGCTAAATCTAAGTTACCAATTCCATCAAGTACCACACCATCCACTTTTTACTTGATAACTTTGATATAAAACAGAGATTGTGAAAGTGCTAGACCCCAAGTGATGATGCACAACCTTCATATGTGAATTGACTCATGTTAGAATTGGGTAACCACATTTGAATGTCGCTACTGTAATTATAATAATATAATAGAATATTTTATTATTTTATTTTATTTTAGTTTTTACTATTCCTCTTATATATAAACAAAATTTTCTTTCTTCCTTTCTCTGTATATGGCTTTTTGTTCTCTGTTTAGACCGTTGCAGATTTTCTAGAAATTAATAGCCCATCACAAAATACCCCCGAATGAAGAAAATTCACATTCCTTTGATCTCGGGGAGAAGGGTTACATCTAAAAAGAAATAATATTAATATTGAAATATGGGCATATAGCAGAACCGACCTTGAAAATGATGTATTCTCTTTTGGGTTGTGGTTGCGGTTGTTTGTGTTATTGCTGACGTCACTGTAACTGCTCGTTCAGAGAGTCTCGGTGAGTGTTCTGATCATCACAAAGATGTACATTGGATCAATTTTCTTGAAGTGCATTATTTTGTGGGTATTATTGTTTTTGTGCCAAAGTTTGGGAATTTTCTTTCGTGATTTTGGATCCAGAATTTTTCTAAGAATTAAGTTTTTCAAGGCCTTATAAGGGTTATGCTTTGCTTTCAAACTTGGTTTTTCTCGGTTGGGCCATTTATTTTCTTTTTAATCTTTGCAGTAGTTTTGTAATTTTGTTATGCAGGTGATCCTCTTAAAAAAAAAGTGTTTAGTTCAGGGTTTTATATATATATATTTTTTATCTGCAATTTTGTTAGGTTGGACATAGAAATGGTGTTGTGTGATGTTGGAATGGATAATCTGATGGTGATACCAGAAAACTATCTGTTCACGGTCATAGAAAAACCATGTATCTGTGTTCATAGGTCTTCATAAGAGTCCAGCTGTGACAATTTCTAAGCAAGATTTTTAAATTCCACTCTTTGGGCATGTAGGATATTCCATTAAACACAACATATATTTTTTGGTTTAGTTTGGCTCATTTAAAGTGGGATTTGTACTTTAGAGGGAGAGTTTGGACTTATTACTGTTCATTTTCAATCAATGAAGTAAAATTTAATAATTCTATGGTCTGCTAAATATCATATGTTTTATTACTATCTCAGCTATTCATTCAATAGTTATAATTGTATCTTTCTTTCAAAACGGCATTCTAACTGCCCTTCATCATTGGAGTCGAATCCTTTGTGGTTGACAATACAATTGAGATTTATTGTTTAACTATAATGTGAGTTATCCAGAAAGGGAATTAGTGATTGTGTATTGAGAGTATTTGTCAATGCTTTTCATTTCAAACTCTTAGATGTGCAACTTCTTCTAATGTAGAATATAACTAGTTTATAGGTTGTGTAGATGATTGAAATAAAATTGATTTCTATAATTAGTCTTCACTCAGAAAACTTCTACCTTTTTCCAGTAGAATGAGTTAAATGTGAACTATAGCTGTGTGTATAATTACATGTCCAGTGATAAAATGATAGAAAGAAACTAAGGCATCTTTCTAGATCTATGTCGGAGAATCAGCAGTGTGGTTAACAAGCCATAATCCATCATTCTATTTTGTGCACTGTTAGAAGGATATATATGACTCTAATATGAATGTTATATATCTATTTATGCATTATTTAACAATTATTTTTTTCCTCTTAAAAAGAAAACAGGAATTATTCAATGGGGAAAGACAGTTCCGATTGTGATTCCCATCACAAACGTCTTGGTCTTTTAAAAGATCAAGTTCACTTGGTTAAAAGGAAAGACTGTGATCGCCATGAGATTGCTCCAATCCAAGACCAACTATCATTTGAGAAGGGTTTTTTCATAGTAATTCGTGCATGCCAATTGTTAGCCCAAAAGAATGATGGAATAGTATTGGTGGGGGTGGCAGGTCCTTCTGGGGCGGGCAAGACTGTATTTACCGAAAAGATACTCAACTTCATGCCCAGTATTGCCGTCATTTCAATGGATAATTACAACGATTCTAGTCGAATTGTTGATGGAAACTTTGATGGTAAGTTATCATCGGCCTTTTCTTATATAATGCTTTTTACTATGGTGCATGATATTAGACATAATTATTGTGATTGTAGGAATGGGATAGCTCATCTATGCTTCTCCCTAATAAAAGTTTTAATTTGGGAATAAAATGGTTTTGTTGAGTGTTGAGTTAGTATTTATGCCTATTGTTGTACATGTGATAGATAGAAATCCACAAAAATAGAATGTATTTGGTATAATATTCGTGCTCTGATTATTATGAAATCCAGTTTTAAGTTTGGACACCAATCTCGTGTGAACTATGTTATCCCGTTGTGCAGATCCACGCTTAACAGACTACGACACATTACTCCAGAATTTAAATGATTTAAAGGAAGGAAAGCCTGTTCAAGTTCCCATATATGATTTCAAGTCCAGTTCACGAACAGGATACAGGTTAATTTGAGCCATCTTGAGTAACTGCATAATTTGACATTTTGAAGTGTTGAAAATTTATTTTGGTCTGGGAACACTATTTTATGGAAAATAAAGGTGAAAAAGATAAAATATAGAAAACGTGTATAGTTGGGTAATAATTTTCAATCAGTTGCTATATATGTGTATGAGAATATTCTTTATCGGCTTCTGTATTCACGAACATGTGTATTTCCTCTCTGTTACTCTCAATTAGGAGATTAGGAAATTTGGTTCGCTCTAACTGAATCTCTTATATTTGTTTCATATCAAATTCTACAAAACTCTTGAACACCATGTTTGACGTTCTGATCTGCAGAATTACAATTTATATCTAAACTATATGATTAATATAGTTCAAATCTGGTTTTAATTTATTCAGAGTACTCCATTTTTTATTATCATGCCTTCATTTCCATATAAAAATTTGCCCTGTTTACAGGACTGTAGAAGCCCCGACTTCTCAAATTGTGATTATAGAGGGCATCTATGCCTTGAGCGAAAAGTTGCGACCTCTACTTGACCTTCGAGTCTCTGTTACAGGAGGAGTTCACCTTGACCTTGTGAAGCGAGTTATTCGTGATATTCAACGTGCTGGTCAAGAACCAGAAGAAATCATTCATCAAATATCTGAGACGGTTCATACTTTTGATACCTTTCATCTTTTTGTACATATTTAGAAAATAACTGTTTCTAGAGGTGCCAATGTTCAAAGATTTTCAGGTGTATCCAATGTACAAGGCCTTTATTGAGCCAGATCTCCAGACAGCACATATAAAAATCATCAACAAATTCAATCCATTTACTGGATTCCAGAGCCCGACTTACATATTAAAGGTTAGTGTCATGATAAATGATTATTTTAATTCCACTTGTGTAATGAAGTGAGAAAAAAGGATAGTTCTGTGTTATGATGTTGATGAGATTATGTCTTAATGAAATCTCCACTGTATATAACTGTTGTAGTCAGCAAAAAATTTAGAAGTGGATCAAATTAAAGCTGTTCTCTCTGAGGATTTTATGGAAACAACCGAGCAAACTTATGACATATATCTTCTTCCCCCCGGTGAAGATCCAGAAACTTGCCAATCATATTTGCGGATGCGAAATAAGGATGGGAAATACAGTCTCATGTTTGAGGTTTAGTTCCTTGCTATACTTTATATCATGTTTTGTATCATATAATGCATAGATGTGAGCTTAGACTATAAATTCAAAATTTGATTTTTCATATTCATTATTGAAGTGTTTGGCACTTCAATTAACTGTATTCTTTTTAATGTAAACTACTAACTCATAACTTCAGATTTTCATCTCCACATAGTATCATCTAGTGATGTTATCCAAGTTGCATTGCCACAATAAGGTCATCACATTATTGTGGGGCTATCCTAGCATTGAAGGACGACTATTTTACTACCTGTGGTGTCACCCACTGTAGACTAATTTCTATTGCACAGTACACAACTGAAATCGCTTACACAAGCCTTTACTTAATAGGGGAAATAAAGTTGAAGGGCATATTCTAGAATCTAGAAAGAATAAGCAATAGGTCGCTATTGAGTTAGTTACAGGCAATTATGTATTAATAGCTGCTGTATAGGTATTATGTGTTGATTCCAAAATCCCCCTCTGGACAAATACGTTGTGTCTGTTTTGTTATGGGGGAGCTATTATGGGTTTTCAATTCCTAAAATGAATGAAATCCACAATAGTAGTGAATATGATAAAGACTTGATTGAAAAGATGCTGGTTGATGATTCCATATAGGAAACTTGTATTTGAGTTTTATTGGTATTTATGTAAGATTTGTTTATGACATCTATGACGTTTGGACGATAGGATAGATTTACTTATGCATGTATTATGTTTTGGAACTATATCAAACCAAACCCCCAACTTTGAAATCCGCTCTTTCTGAAATTTCTCATTTTTTTTTCCTAATCTACATTCAATTGCATATGATCCTAATACTTTTTTTAAAATTTTGAAACCAAAAAGACTAACATTACTGGAGTGGATGATGAGATGTACATTTGATCTCCAGAAGAAGGGGAAAATGTATTTTTTATATAAAGTGAGAGCACATATACTGTGAATTATGCTTTGAAATTCTTCTATTACACTCTGGAATGGTGACCTTGCGTACAGAATTGATTGCCACAATATCTTCATTGCCTCTCCTAAACTGCTAGGTTTATTGATGAATTACAGTAGTTTGGAATTCTGTTTTGACGCTTGAACATTGTTCTCCAATTTTGGGTTTATTATGCAACCATTTGTACAAGAAATACTACTGAAGTAGAATTTAAAAGGCTTCATATTTTGTTGGTTATTCACTTCTTTTGATTCTTTTGGACCGCAACAACAAACATTTTGTTGCCTTGGTATGCTATTAAGATATCATATCTTTGGTGTATTGCATATTATATTTGTTTACAATTCTCCATGATTCATGGAGAATGAATTTTCAACAGAGTGTAAACTAATTGATGTCCTATAACATGTCAGGAATGGGTGACAGATAATCCATTTGTTATATCACCAAGAATTACTTTTGAGGTCAGTGTGCGCCTTCTAGGTGGACTAATGGCCTTGGGATACACAATAGCTACTATCCTTAAGAGAAACAGTCATGTTTTTTCTGATGATAGGGTTTGTGTGAAACTCGATTGGCTTGAGCAACTTAATAGACATTATGTTCAGGTAATATTAGATTATGCCTATGATACAATCATGCTACTGTAAATGCTATAGTGGAATACATTTGTTGAAATTGTCTTTTTCTTCTGATTTCTAATTTAGATATGCATTTATATCCATCACAAGTTTGAATTGCACTCATTAATTAGCCTGATTGTTGGAATTTATGGGAGTCAATGAGTTTTTACATTTTATATTCATTTCTGTACGCATATCCATCCATTGCTCAAGTGTAATTAGTTTTATCTCAAGATCTTGAGTACTTTACAAACTGATAGATCTCAAATAAATTGTTTTTATTCATTTTATATTTTTTTCACCACTCTATGGAAAGGCCATCCAAAGAAAATACACATATGAAGTTAAAAGTTGTTTAAATTAATGTGTTCACAATTTTATTTCCATGTTGACTTGGGTTGCTTCTGGTAAAAAATGCTTTGTTTATCATTCAACAGTGACAGATTAAATGTTTGTCCTTTTATTTCATTTGTTTTTATATTTATTTTATTGTTTGGTTGTTAACAATTTGAACTTATTGATAAACAGGTACAAGGAAGAGATCGCTTAGTTTTAAAATACATAGGACAGCAGCTGGGTCTAGATGGTTCCTACATTCCTCGGACCTACATTGAGCAAATTCAAATTGAAAAGCTTGTGGATGAGGTTATGGTATGAGAGCTTACCATCTGCTGATATGTTTTCCTGTGTCAGCATTTTCGGTCTAATTGTTCCACTTCTACAGGCCCTACCAGATGATTTGAAGACAAAGCTCAGCCTAGATGAGGATTTGGTGTCAAGCCCCAAGGAAGCACTTTCTAGAGCCTCTGCTGATAGAGTTGCCATGAGAAATAAACATCTGAGGAGGTGAAAATTTTCCATCTAATACATTAAGATGAAACCACAATAAAGACCTTGCTCTAAAGGGTTTTACTGTAGTTTTTTTATAACATTTAATAGTGTTGATTAATCTATAGCCAACCCTACCTGTTGGGACAAGGCGTAATTGATGTTTTTATTCAAAATTGTTAGTGACATATCATAATTGCACATTCGCAAAATTTAAATCCATAAAATTATCCAGAACTATATTGAGAGAAAATCAATTTACTTTGACAAACATCAATTTAGATAATTCAATTTGATATGGGTCAGTTACTCAGGTACATCATTAAACCATGTTTACTAAACGAAACATATTGTATACTTCTTGGAATATGCTTTGCAGTTACCTAATATAATATGGATTGTTTATCTTCAACAGCGGAATGTCACAGTCATATACCAATCAAAGAGACAGAAACCTAGCCAAGGTTACTGGATATGATGCCAACAACAGAAGGTTTGGTGAAAGAAATTCAGAGTCCAGTGCAATGTCAGTTAATCAGGTATATTAAGCTACCTGTAGCAGTTTTTTTTTGGTTTTAATTCATGTAAAGATACTGAATTCATATAATCACTTCTGTATTCGTCCATTCCCCAATTAACTATCAGAATTTTTTCTTCACTTATCTAATATCTGGTAGGGAGCCATCAATCAGCTTTCAGACCAAATTTCTGCCCTCAATGATAGAATGGATGAGTTTACAAATCGTATCGAAGAGCTGAACTCCAAGTTAAACACCAGTAGAAATTCTCCAAGCCAACAAAATCTGTCACTTCAAGCTGAGACATGCAATGGATCTGCTCCCACCTCTTACTTCATAACTAGTTTGGGCAATGGTTCTCTAACTGGATCTAAAATGGCAAATTCCTCTTCGTCGTCACAGTTAACTAAGGATTTTCCTTTCATGGATGAGGTATTCTGAGTCTTATATCACTTTCAGTATTTTATTATGACACTTAGTTGATCGTTTGAGAGATGTATTTTTTGGGATGATATGTTAGATGGCTCCCGATACAGCTGTTTGATAGGGGGTGGGGGGGAAGAGAGAAATAGAGCCATGAATGGAATTAGTTTATGTATTACATCCTGTATGCAGAACATCCATCTATATACACTTAGGTTGTACGAGTTGCTAGCCAAACAATAAGTGAGTTTCACTCCTACAATACTAATTCCTATGAACACCTATTATTTGATATATGAGATATATGTAGGTATTCTTTCTTAAAAATTAGGCAAATATAATATGGGTTCACTAAACATAAAACATGCCGTTAGTAAACAAGAATTGAAAAGAAAAAGAAAGAAATTTTCTATTGAATATGATGAAAAGAACATAAAAATGGCACAGGACAAGGTTTCTTGTATGAAGATAAGGTAAGAACCCAAGTTTCTGGATGTTATGATGCTGGTTGGGCAGGAAGTCCTATGGACAGATGCTCTCCTATGGGATCCAATGGGAGGAAATATTATCTAGTGAAAAAACAAGAATGTTTTCTGCACTAATATAGAACTATTTCTTTAGCTACCTCCGAGATCTAAGGATTTGTGAATTTTATCCATTGTAGTTATATTGTGATAATAAAAAAACACTTCACATTGCCCCTTAACCAGTTTTCCACTTGAGAACCAAACATTGAGATTGATTGTCATATATTAGGGGAAAAATTATTGACCAATGAAATTAACAATAATCTATTAGCTCTAATGACCAGCCTGCAAATATTTTAACTAAGTCTTAGAGAGGATCCCAGATTCAATTTTTGTACATACAATTTTTATGCTATTGTTTGAGGGGGAGTGGAGAAAATTAAATGCTATCTCCTATCTAGCTTCTAGAATTTCCAGACATACAAACGAAACTTTAGATAAATTATCACCTTTTCATATATATATATATATATATATGTGTGTGTGTGTGTGTGTGTGTGTGTACACACACATCAGTTCAAACAGAGTGAGACAACAATCAAGCTTTCATGTAAATTATCCTTGAGTTTCAACCCTTGCCACTTCAGTCAAACTAGGGTCCGGCAGTTTGGATGTTGTGTTGGTGGGAACTAGGGTGGAGTCTATACAACAATAAACACCAAGACTGCCTTTGACTTTCTTCTTTCTGTCTTGGCTCCATTGCCAATCTTCATCTTGGTTCTTCAACAAGTATACTATCCAGGAGAAAATCGCCTGTGCAATCCACATTTTTCACAATTCACATCCAACAGAACTTCATTTTCGATGTGTTTCTCTCTTTAATGGAAATATCAAATTCTTTCTCCATCATAACTTACTCAATATTTGTTTCCCTTGTTAATTCTCCTTCTTTTTGGTTTGTTCTCCACCACAAATAGTGTGGTTCTTGATTACTGAACCTTTATAAGTCTGTAATTCACGTCTTTGCCCAAGAACAAGGCAGAAAGCCATATTCTTCCTCAAATCCACTGTTCTCCCCCCTTCTTCTGCTGATTTCTCACCTTCAGTATCAGAATTTTCCCCCTTGGCAGATGATGGCATCGTGTTTTTCATCTATAATAGCAACTCGTTGATGTAAACCATATCAGTTTTTAAATTTGCCATTTACTGACCTTACTTAGCGATAGATTTCTCCAATGCTCCGATTCTCCATCATGATTGAAGATTTGGCAAGTTGGATAATTTGTTAGGAATCAAGAATTGAAAAAGAAAAATAAAATTATTTAATAGGATTGAAAGGTATAGATATCCCTCTAACTATATTAATTTTCTAATTATCTTAATAAACTTCTCCTTCTCCTTAAATCCTAACACAGAGCTGCTGGATATGTGGGAGAAATGAGTATTACTGGACAAGAAACCCAGCAGATTGGCTGAAATGGTTATCTACCTGAACAGATGGTTCAAAGAGGCACAATAAGGGAAGAAGATATTTAGCTGCGATGATCAACAATAAAGAATTATTATTATCATTTACAGCGATTAACCAACAAGACCACCAAATGCTTCATCCTGCATTGAACACAGGATTATTTCATTGAAGATAAAAGTATATCAAACCCATAGGAGGTTTTACTATGAGTATATTGTATCCATGGGATAAATATATGTTAAATTGAGATTTGTTTCCATCTTGAGTAGACTGTATCCATTTCAGGAAAATTAAATGGCACTAGGAGGTTGTTGGAAAATATTGTCAAAAGTTTGCTGGGAAAGTCTGTCAGCTGAAGGTTAGCGGCTGTACGTCAATTTCTTTCCCAGAAAGTTCATTGGTGGTTGAGGTTCATTACAGATGTCACTGTAAAGTTCACCGTTGTTGTCAGTTTCTCTTGAAATAATTTCTGGGGAAGAGTGATGGTGGATGGAACCAGCTGGAAGAAAACGGAAGCAATGCTATTTGGCCTTTTTCACAGAAGCATGTTGTAACTAGGAAAATCGAGAAAATAAAGCTATGGAATAGATACTAGAATTTGGAAACAAAAACAATTCCATATTTTGGTAACATGGCAGTGGAACTGCGATGTTAAGTCATGGATGATGGTACTATGTTGATATCCTGTTGAATTTAGATGGAAGATGTTTATTTGCTTGCAATGGGTTTGATTCTTGATGGGAATATCATTGGCTTTATCAAGTGAGTGGACCTTGGGCTTCAAACCATAATTGGACAGCAGTCCCCTGGTGACAGTTGGCTCTCTTGGTCACTTTTCGCATGAGATCTACAGGACATGGTAAAAGTCGCTTCAGAATCAGAGTTCAATGAAGAACTGTTAGAGACCGTGATCAATCAGGGAAAATCAAGGCTAGAAGGAATTGCTGAAGTTTGGGTTGTGACATAAAACACACTCAGATTTGGTGTTGACAGGAGGAAAGTACATGTGACGGCAATTTCAATGTTATGGTGGTTGTCAGAGGAGGATGGTTCAGATCATGTAGGCGCCTGGAGAAAAAGTGTTGGTGGTGGTCAAAGGAAGCACACAGCAGCGTAGACACTGCACTCGTAAAGAAACCCGCCGTTTCAGAGAGGATTGTGAATAAACCTAAAACACTGATACCATAAAGAAAAGGATTTACTGAATGTGTCTAATGCCTACATTTACGCTTTATTGGAGTCAATGAAATCCGTAACTTCTAAGAACACAAAATCTTTCCGTATTTACATGCAAAAAAAAATAAAAAATCTAGCAATTTCAATTTTTTTTCTCATATAATTTATTCCTTTGTTTTCCGATCTTTTGTCATTCAATCAAGCTCAGACAAAGATTTTCACTTGGTATTTGTGCTATTTTAAACCTGTCATTTCCACTACATGAACCGCATGATGCATATTTTAACCATAGAAGTTTCTGTTGCTCTCATGCTGTTAATTTCATTATTTTGTTGTGTGCTTATCCTAATGTTTGGAACTTATAATAGATTAAAGATGGGTGAGTGTCAAAAAGGAAATCTGATTTACCTTTATATGAATCAGTTGAAAGTTGGTGGCTGAAAGTCATGATTTACAAAAAAAATATAGTTCTGCACGTTTCTTGCTATTTTGTAAATTTTGGTATTCTATCCGATGCTATTTTTATGGATACAAGTTGTTAGTGATGTCTAGCTCTAGAGAAAATGGTTCTGATTAGAGTTATTATAGTGAAACTATCGTAAATGTGCCTCAGTTTCTTGTTGTGAATTTATTTGCTTTTATTGGTATATAAACATAAACCAGAAAGGTATGATGAACTCTTAGCATAGACAGTGGAATCCTGTAAAATTATAAACTATCCGAATCACCAAGGTGTATATGACTATTGATATTGTTAACTGTGTCATCAGATATCAAGCATTGCACGCAGTCAGCGTCAGATCATGCATCAATTGGACAATCTCAATAATCTTCTCAGGGGGAGCTCAGGGGAGAAGTCTCACCAAACAAGAAGCAGCCGGAGAAGCATAGATGATACTGCATCAGATTCCATGGGAACTCGTGTTATGGCAGTGGTGGCAGTTGGTTGTTTGGGGATCTTCTTGATGAAGGGTTTGTTGAACCGGAATTGATTCCTCTAGGTATATAGTCAATCAGTGATTTAGATTCAAGATATTTTTCACTGTGACAACCCTTCTTGATAAGAATGGTGTTGAGGCAATTGACAGCTGAAGAGAGATTGAGGAGGCAGTCTTTTAGGATCATTTGAGGGTCGGTGAGAGAATGATGCATGCCCACTTGAAATTTTGCGACTTCGTGGGCTTAATTTTTCATCACAATTTTATGCAATTTTATACACAACAACCAAGTAGAGTCTATATTATATACCTTTCTTCATTTGAAAATTTAAATAAGTTGGCATTAGTGAGCAGATCAACTTAGCAACATCTATGACAGATAATTGAGAAAAAGAAAATGCGGAAAATTCAAGACAATGTACCGAGCTGTTACATGCAAATTATTACAAAAGAAACAAATCATCCTGTTACCAAGTGAATGCCTTGGTGCTTGATGTTCTGCTACTTTCTTGAGTTTCTTCATTTTCTTTATCACATCAGGCCATTGTGGATATGAACACTAAACAACAATTTTTTGTTATGGATTCACTTCACCACGCTATGAAAAATTACTCGTAATTGGGAGTGAAAAAATTAAGTTAAATGTAATTTTTAAGTATCAATTATTAATTTAAAATATGTAGATAAATTTTTAAAATCTAAAAACAATTTTCCAGCAGATTTCAAATTTTAAAGTAAATTTATATCCATGGAAAAAGTACTTGAAGAAAAAAATCCCCGAAATAATCAGCAGAAATGTATTTCCCACGTATATTTATGAATGATCCAAAAACCCACGTGTAATTGGATAATGTTTAATAGTACATCTACTTAAGTTTCAAGTTGTTTGTTGTAAAGGTATGTGGAGGGATAATATATTGTGATAGTTATTAACATTAAATATATAATTCTCTTTTATTATTCATATCGTGTGAATCACGTTTGGATAGTATAATAATACTTTAAGATTTTATAAGATCTTATAAAAAATTTCCTCAATATTTTAAAAAGTAGATTTAATTAATTAATTAATTCTATTTATTTGAAAATTTAACACTACATTATAAACTTTGAAAATAAAATAAGTTATTTTTAACTTAAATATAACCAGAAAGGAGATTTGAATATTTTTTTTTCTTTAATTTCGTCTTCACTTTCTTTTTAATTACATTATTTTATAAGAATTAAATTACTTTATTTTATTTTTAAATGCGTTTGACATAAAAATTCCAGAGAAATACTACCTAACATTTTAAAAAATTGTTTAGACTTCAGATAAAACATTGTCTTGTTTCCTTCAAGGTAGTAGAGGGACGTGGCATGAAGTAAGTGGTGGATCTTCCATTGATCTAGAGGTCAAATAATATATTATTAATAAATATAAAAAGAAGAAAGATGATAAAAGTGTAAAAAGATAAAATTGTAAATATATACTTAAATATATTAAATGATTATTAAGTTAGAGAGAAACAAAATCATAAATTATATAAGAGTTATAAAGCTGAGGAGAATGTGAGAGGACTAAATTGTAAATATACAAGTAAATATATTAAATGTTAATTAAGTTTGAAAGTAAAATCATAAATTACACAAGAATTAAAAAACTTCAAGGAGGGTCACGACCCCTCAACTCCCAAGAATATCCCCCACTGCATCACGTGGAAATATTGGTAAGGATTGTCTTAAAAAATAAGTTTGTTTTTTTATAGCAGTAAAAAGTTTACTTTTTTATTTAAAAACTATTAACTTTGTTTTATCTACATGTCATTTTAATTTTATTGTCTAAATTTTAATAGACAAAATTAAATTACTTAATTCTAAATTGTTATTTAAAAGAAAAAAAAAACTGTGTTGATATACACGTTCCAACCTAACACTCTACCTAAACTTTAGTTTAAAGTTATTGTCCACATAAGCACGACACTACTTTCATCTAAAATAATAAAGTAGCATCACATGGAAACGAAGGAATTTAAAAAAATATTTTTTAGGATAAATAGAAAAAATAAATTTAATTATTTTAATTTAATAACTATTTTCGATTAAAGAAAAAGATAAAAATGAAAAATGAATTCTAAAACTTCGTTATCAAAATACTAATAACATAGTATGATAAAAAAATAACATATAAAAAAAATATCTTTAAAATAGTAAATAAAAATATCCATATACAAATTTAACATAGCTAGTGTCATTTTTCAATTGAATGTAGAGTTTTGTTTAAATAATATTTATTATAAATCATATCATTAAATAAATTATATATTACATATTTAAATAAGTTATAAAGTTTTGTCCGTAGTGATGTATCCAATATTTGAAATGAAAATGACTGGTGGTCCTGTATTTATATAGCTCTTAGGATGGCTTCTTCTTCGAAAGTTTGATTAGCATTGCTCGTGAACGCAGGTTGCAGTTGGCACAGAGGATCAATCTCACCATGGATTTCAATTGCACCGCCAAGGTTAGAAGTTCTCTGTCCACATCTTCATTCTCTGATATGATCATTATGACAATGAAGCCCCAAATATTTACGAAACCTAAGTATTCCCTTCCTCTGATCCTCTTATTTTGTCTGTTTTCTTCTCTCATCTTGTATGATACAAGATACCGCAACTTGTTTCCAAATATAGCAGTTAATCCCAGTTAAGTAGTGGATATGGTTTCTTCTAGTGTGCTTGTTTCAGTTGAAGAATGGATACATACATCGATTGTCAAGAATTGGGAAAATTATCACATGGATTATTAGAGAGATGAAACCACTGATGATGAATCCCAAAGTAAATCTGAAAGTTCTGCTGATTTTTTCTTCCATGTGTTGACTTTGAAAAAATATCTGGTTAATCATATTCTTTATGATCCATGGCTTTCTCTTTATCTCTTATCCTCTAGAAACCAATTGAATACAGCGAGATGCTTGAATATATGTGAAAAACATGTCACATGTGTGAGTAAATGCAGATAAGAGCGGTGCTGCTCAGTGGTCCACGAGTATATTGTAGGGTACATTGACATAAATATCAACATGCCATGGCACTTTCATAAAATCTTGTTTATCTTTTTGCTGGGTAAAAGCTTTGGATTTTGTCTTATAGCCAGATTCGACAAGTTTTAAATAATTCTAAATTAAATAAAAAAATTATGATTTAAATTTATCTGATATAAGCTTCTATTTTTGTTAACTAAATCTGTAAATTTCCTATCTACCTACTAATGCAGTTCACCACATTCCAATTTGGGTGAGCTGGATGCCAATTTCCAACTTGTTTTGATAACTTTACACGTTATCTTTTTGTTTTATATCCCCACAACAACATGGATAAAATCCTGATATTAATTAAGAACAATTGGATAAAGACTTAGATGCAGATATTTCTCATTAAAAGAAAATATTGAGAATAATAATATATTAAATGAACTTAGTAAATTTTTTTATAATCAATATATAATATCCAAAATCTAGAATAGTAATATAATTTCACAATCCTAGAAGTTTAGAAAATATAACGACAATTTATATAATATTAACATTTAAAAAATTATAAACTATAAAAATTCGTATCTTATTATAGGGCCGGCCCAACTTTTGGGTTTGAAAGATTGCATGACAATCACCTCAAGTTGGATGGGTCGAAGTTGAGCCTAATGCGTGGGTACGAAAGCCTCTTGTATAGGTGCTTTTAGCAATGTTTAACAAGAGAAATTAAATTGGTTAAACCAAAGCAATATTATATGTATATATTTTACATCAACTTAAAAAAAATATTAATTTTTAATATTTAGTTTTAATTTCAAATTAATATTTTTACATGAATTATTAGCTATTTTTATTTATATATTATTTCAAAAACAAGTCACCAGAATAAAGTTGTTAATAAAGAAAATATTAACATTATTTTGCATTAATGATTTAGGATATAGTTTTATTTAAATTATGTTTGATGATATTATTTTATTTAAGATTACATTTATTATATTAAAGAGTAATTTTGTTTAAAATTAACAAAAAATAGCTAGTAATAGCTATCCAAAAGATTCGGTCGCATTACTCCTCTTTGTAACTTCTACGCTTGCGTAAGATTTCGATTCTGTTCCTTATCTCTGCAATGTACCTGCTTCCATTTATCAAATTTTCACTCCATTGAAACCTATTTAGGATCAAAAGAAAGGCGTAGATCAATCCATCTTACTATGCTGCAAGTTCTTCGTCTCAGAAGCCCGTAACGTGGCCACTCTGGACGCAATAGAACGCGCTGCGAGGTCAAACCCGGAGACCGTGATTGTGAACAAGTTTCACGATCGAGCGTACAACAGAACGAGATACACTCTTGTGTCGTATGTTCTGCACGACTGCACCGGAAGTGCCGTTTACAGCCCCTTGCACCAAACCGCCATAGCCATGGCTGAGGCTGCCTTCAACACCATCAACCTCGAATCCCACGACGGCGCTCACCCTCGCTTGGGCGTTGTTGATGACATCGTTTTCCACCCTCTCGCACGTGCGTCAATCGGTGAGGCAGCGTGGCTCGCCAAAGCTGTTTCGGCAGACATTGGCAACCGTTTCAGTGGTAATTATTTCTAGTATTTCAAATAAAATATTAATTATTTTCTCTTTAATATGTCCTTAAATAAATTTATTTTGTTACACGCCGTTGAATGCAGTGCCAGTGTTTCTGTACGCCGCGGCCCACCCAACGGGGAAAGCGCTGGACACCATAAGGCGAGAACTCGGGTACTACCGACCTAATTTCCAGGGCAGCCAATGGGCCGGGTGGGCCATGCCGGACACCCTCTCGCAGAGACCAGACGAGGGGCCCAACGTGGTTTCACGGGCCAAAGGTATCTCAATGATCGGGGCACGCCCTTGGGTGGCACTCTACAATGTGCCGATCCAGTGCACTGACGTGTCAGCCGCAAGAAGAATCGCACGGAAGGTGAGTGCTCGCGGTGGTGGGCTTCCCACAGTGCAAACGCTTGCCCTTGTCCATGGCGAGGACTATTCTGAGATAGCCTGCATGCTGCTGGAGCCCAACCAGATTGGAGCAGACAGGGTGCAGCACACGGTGGAGACGCTGGCAGCACTAGAAGGAATTGACGTGGAACAGGGTTACTTCACCGACTCTTCTCCCGAAATGATTGTGGAGGAATACATGAAACTGATTACTGCTAACAGATCGTGATCGTGTCTCTGTGTCACCGTTGGACTTAATTGTTGATAAATAATAATATTAATCATAATCGCATGGGGTTGCCATTTCAGTAACGAAAGTTGTGATTCGTCATTGTGGAATTTGACTATTGTAATTAATCACCAGTAGTTTATAAAATCGACAAAATTTCCCTCAAAAAAATAAACATATATCGGGAATTTATATTGTATTTACCACCGCGCAGGTTCGTTCCCCTTTTTCATCTAGTTGCTTTACCGGACGTGCCTTTCAATTTTCTGAATGCAATTTTGTCAATTATAATCTTCGCTGAAAGTTGACTCTTGATCCAGTATTGAAAGTTATAATACAGGGGAAACAATCCCCTGTCCCATTCACACTTGAAAAGATTAAATAATATATTATTAATAAATAATAAATAAATATAAAATAAGAACATATGAAAAAAAATAAGAAATCATATTTTTAAAATATAAAGAATTTAAAATATAAAGAAGAATAATTAATATTTATAATCAATATAATACTAAGTAACAAAATTTTGAGAATTTAGTTGACACTAAAAAGCATTACAATTTTAAAAAAGTATTGAAAGTGTAATTTTTCTGTCCTGATAGAAACTGTAATAAAGATCATGTTTGTGCTTACCTTAACTTATTTTGGTTCTTACACTTGACAAATTAGGTATTATTTCACAAAAAAAAATTTATATGTAGAAATTGATAAAACATGTAGCACAATTTACAACAACTCAAGCACCTACCCTACTCAACCAACTACTTTATTTCATAGATTTGATCAATTATTTTCATTTTAATTTTTTTCAACTTGATGGGTTACTATCATTTTAGTTTTAACTTCAGTCTTTGAGTTTACAGAGGTCGTCTTATGATAGAACCAAAGTGCTAGACGAATTATACTTTTGAATATCTTTTAAGTTTTAATATTTTTTACGGACCTAATGATAGTGAATTATACTCCTCTGTCACTTTAATTTTCACCATCTAAAAATAATTTCAAATTGATTGAAGTTCACACATTCGAATACTTAATTTATGTTGCCTAATTTATTTGCTTACATTATATTTGATGAATTATAGGTGAGATATTATATTCTATTGGATAAAAAAGAAAAGAAAGTGCGAAGAAAAAAAATGAAATATATTTGTTTGAGAGAATAGTAACATGAGAGGAAATAAAAATTGGCATAATTTTATCTCGTGCATTCTTTTACGCATATATTAGAGAAAAATAAATATGATCGATAAAGTGAAAACTATCTTTTTCCTAAAAAAAAGGAAATCATTATTTTTCGTTTATTTTTCTTATATCCATAACTTTTCATTCTACAATTCCGGACATACAAACGACTTTAGATAAATGATCACCGTTTATATATATATATATATATATATATATATATATATATATATATATATATATATATATATATATATATATATATATATATATATATATATATATATAATATTTTTAATAATTTTAAAAATTATTGTTAACTTATAAATAAGGATAGAATATATTGAGTTATTATTTTTTTACGAAACATTTTATTAATTTTATACATCAATTCCTTACAATAAAAATAAATATGACAATATTTAATAATAAATTAAAATAATCTAATGTCACCATCTACGTTCTAAATCCCCATAATCCACCTACTAAATTCTTTAATTTTTTTTATTTTTTAGTTTTTAAAAACAATTTTAAGACTATTTTTTTAAATAAATAAAAAACTCATTTCATAACTTTATTTTTGAAAATTATTCTACACGAAAAATAATATAATACCACAAATTTAAAGTAATTATTGATGAAACCCACTAATGAAAATAAGAAATTAAAATAAAAATATATTTCATCAAAATTTTTTTTATTTTCACAAAATAAAAAACAAAAATAATTTTTAAAAACAATTTTAATAAATAGTTACCGATAAAATATTTTAATTTTTAAAAACTAAAAAAAACGGAAAATTATCTAAGAGTAAACAACATGTCCTTAAATATTTTACACGAGATAATATATTTAAATCTAAATATATTTAAATCTCATTGGGTCATGACACTTCATTAGAGAAACTTGTATAGATTGTACCGTATACTCGGCCCATAATAGAAATTACGATGGTAACTTTACTTCTCATGTTATTCAATATTCACTTCTACGGTGACACTATACATCCTTGCACACAACATCCTAGTTTTTTTGCTCTCTTTGTTTTTCTTCAAACAGAGAGAATTATTGTCCTAAAATTTCATTAAAGTGCCCATAATTCTCTTCCTTTTCCTCTCTTCCCCAATGCCCCTTTTTCAACGCAATTCAATCCCATCCTTTTGTTGAATTCGTGATCCGCTTCCTTCAAGTACAATTCGCTTCCAATCTCTTTAATGGGTGTTTTTTATCTTGGTACATTCTACTGGGTTCCTTCTCAATGCAAACAATTTAGCCCTCAAAATGGTGTTTGTATCAGATCCTAGATTTTCTTACATTAGTTTACGGCACAAGAATTAATGCAAGGTTAGTGATATATATACTTTTGTAAATGGGTGTACTTTATTTTTATTTTATCTTTAATGGATCATTTGATCTTTGAATAATTGTGGGAAAATTGAGTTTTTTTCTTTTCTTTCTTCTGGTTCCTTGTGTTTTGATGTAAATTAGGTGAGGCATAAGAATGGGTGATGTTGTGGGTCCTGACTTGATCAGTGACCTTCCTCAAAGCATTATCGAGAGTATTCTGGTGCAGCTACCAATTAGAGAAGCTGTGAGAACTAGTATTTTGTCTAGTAAATGGAGGTACAAATGGGCTTCAATTACTCAACTTGAGTTTGATGACAAATGTGTGCCCTTTAGTAATGACAGGGAAGTTGTTGAGAGGAGTGTTGTTAAGTTCATCACCACAGTGTTGTTTCTTCACCAAGGGCCAATTCATAAGTTTCAAATTACGAATTGGAAGTTGCAGAACTGTCCTGAAATTGATCAGTGGATTCTATTCCTCTCGAGGAATAATATCAAGGAATTGGTATTGGAGTTGGGAGAAGGGGAGTTTTTTAGAATACCTTCAAGCCTTTTCAATTGTAGGAAGTTGAATAGGTTGGAGCTCTCTCGGTGTGAGTTGGATCCACCGCATAGTTTTAAGGGTTTTCTGTGCTTGAGGAGCCTCAACCTTCATCAAGTTTTGATATCCCCTGATGCAGTTGAGAGCCTTATTTCCAGATGCCCTCTCTTAGAGAGTTTATCACTGTCTTATTTTGATCATTTGGCTCTAACTATCTGTGCCCCGAATCTTAAGTACTTGTATCTTGAAGGTGAATTCAAGGATATATGTCTTGAAGATACTCCACTTTTGATTGAAATCTCTATTGCTATGTACATGACCGATGACATTGCTGAGCATTTTGAACAAAGCTCAAACTGTAATTTTGTCAAGTTTTTTGGTGGTGTGCCTAATCTTGAGAAGCTTGTCGGCCTTATCTACTTCACAAAGGTAACTCATCTGTTTATTGTGTTAGTTCATCCCTCAAAGGAAGGGTGCTTTGAAATTATTATGTTGACCAACCTCTTTACTTAATTCATTTCTGCACTTTCTTGAAGTATTTGAGCATAGGGATTGACTCTGTGCATATTTCAATAACCTACCACAATTTGGAGACTATTGAATTATATCAAGTAAATTTTGAAGATACAAAAGAGATACTTGTCATCCTTCACATGATTACAAGCTCTCCCAATCTAAAAGAACTACAAATTTCAGTAAGTCCTCAGTCCTTACTGAATGCAAAAGTCAAGATTTTCAGTTTTTACAAAGTAATAATGAATGGTTTTGTTATTAATTTTTACAAATCAGGCCTGTTTATGTAAGATTTACTACTTCATTACTTTATGCAATTGACTTTGACAGGGTTCATCGAACATACCAGTTGCTGTAGATGCCCCAGACTTGGATTTTTGGGAAAAAGGATGCTTTTCAGATTCTGCACTTAACAAGCTTAAAATTGTGAAGTTGTCAGAAATGGGTGGTTGGCGTCATGAGATAGAATTTATCAAATATTTGCTTGGCCGTTCTCCCGTGCTTGAGACATTGAGTATCATTCCTTGTGTATTTGACATGGAGAATAATTTGAAAATGTTGATCGAATTGGTGAAATGTCGAAGAGCTTCTTCTAGAGCAGAAGTTATTTTCATCAACGAGTGACATTGTGGACTGTGTTATAAAAGACATTCTTTTATATCATTTCCATTGCCACTTCCCCTGGGTTTATACATAACTTTCTTTTAAAATACAAATATTACCAATGTGAAAAACCTGTAAATTCTCAAGCTAAAGTAGGTATTTTATAAAGATGGATTGAAGACCTGTGCAGCATAGAAGTTAGAATTGACTAAAAACCCAGCTAATGGAAAGTCAAAACATGGAGCTGATCAATGGTAACTGATAGACAGTTACTATAGGAATCGTAGCTGAAATTTGCATCTACTAGATTTTTTTAAACCTTTTTTATTAGTATTTGCTCATTTGAACTTCATAAGCTGCATTGTACCATAGCATATTTTATAGAAATTAATTTCCATTCTACTATGTGCTAGCAGTATTTGATGTCACTAACTTCCACCAGAGACTTGTATATCATGTTGTGGGTGTGATTGAGAGTACAAACACATGTTACCACACCTATTCTACTATTTTTTGTCTCCATAATCCAATAGCACTGCTCAAAACTCTAATTCCTCTCCAATTCCTAACTCCCTCAGTCACACCAGTTCCGTATCTCTTGAATTTATTATCTTTTTAAACTCCTCAATTTATTTAACTCCATATAGGTGTTGTCCACGACCTTAGAATCTTGTGAAATATGCTGAGAGTTGCATGTGTATCACAGTCAACAACTATTATGGGGGCAAATTATTATTGACTTTTGGTAGTTTTCACTATAATAAACATTTGTAAGGCTCGTGATGTGGTTAATCTCACAAGATTTTATACCTTTCTATTCTGAAGTATTTAATCTCACATTGTGCCATTGTGTATATAAACTTGTCTAAAACAATGATTTAAGAGTTGCGATGCAGTGTGGTTAATGATATTTTGCCCTAGTGTCTTTGTTCCAGGAGCTTATTCCACCTAGAAACGATTTGACCTCTTGTATAAGTTTATACCAAATAATGATTTATGCATTAAAACTTCATCTTGCATAACATAAGAATCGTTATACTGGCACAAATTCAGCCTTTCAGTTTGCCACAATTTATATTTACTCTTGCCTTTGGCATAATAAGTACACGTGCTTGGTAAAATTCTTGATTTATTTGATAATATGTTGTTTTAGTAAATGGATATTTGTTCTCATTAAAATTGTTCTAGTTTGGGTACTGTGAAAATTCTATTCCTGGTATAAGATCAAACAATAGCATTGTAGTAGAGAGTTCTTTACCTTTTTACCTAAATTCATTGAAAGTGTGTTTGGATTCATTTCTTAAATTTATTTTATATTTATTATTATTATTATTATTATTATTATTAAATTTATACTAAGGATATTTTTTTCACTCATTAATTTATTTTATTATTTAATTTTTTAAAAGTTAAAATAATTTCATCAACTAATTTTTTTTATTCATTTCCTCTCACTTTTCATTTTTTTTTATTAAAGCCGACGTCACTTTTTATTTTCTTTCTCAAATTTTATAATCTCTCAAATTCACTCATCAATACAAACACATGATGTTAAGCATTTGAATTGCTTTAGACATCTTCAGTTTGAGTATGAACAGTTTGAGTACACAACAAACTTAGAATAATCTTAAATGTATTTTATGTTCATTTCAACGAACAAATCAAACTTCTTCATGTTCATTTCAACGAACAAATCAAACTTCTTTCTCTTGATCAATATTTTTTTTTTCACTTCAATTTGTATTCACTCTTAATTATTACTTATTTCCATATGTTACTATGGATAATTTTCTATATTTAGTTGTATTTCAGTTTGTACTCACTCTTTAATTATTACTTCTTTTCCCATGTTGTTACGGATAATTCTCTATGTTTAGTTCCGTGAGAAAAATACAAGTTGAAAAATATCGAATAAAAATCCTCTTCTGTTCTAGAGGTTCCAATAGGTAAAAGAAAGTAATGTTAATATATATATATATATATATATATATATATATATATATATATATATATATATATATATATATATTAAAATTTAAGGATGAAAAAAACGAAGTAATATATATATTATTCTCGAAGTTTTATTTCATTTAATGATATTTTTTCTAAAACACTATAACTTTAATCAATGATTATATCATGACTGAAAACCTACAAATTCCAATACAAAGGTGAAAACTCTCAAATCCCAAAATACTATTATTGATAGTTTAAGTACAATATATTTATATGAACTTTATTCGTCTAACAAGTTGAAGGAGCCAGAAGGACATTTCCCACAAAATCTTCACTCCATCATTTAAGAAAAACACTTAACACTCAACCTATAAGTCAATGTCTCCAATCAGATTCTGTACAGTCAGAAACTAGCATCAGTCTTTGAGATGCTAATGTTACACCAAGTTCACTGCAACTCAGGCAATTGCATTTGAAGAAACTTAACTTTCTTCCACTCTTCACCAACTTAAATGTCACACACAGTGACTTAGTGAATTATCTTGGCCCAGAAAGTTCCATTGCTTGTGCAAGTAGTGAAGAGTCATCAGTGAGATCAGAGTAGCGCTCTGAAGAGGAGAGTTCATTTCCTCTACATCTTGTTGATTCAGCTCTCTGTGAGGCTTCCCATTTCTCTGCAAGACCATCTCCTTCAAGCATCCTAACCACTTCAGACATCTTGGGTCTGTGACTTGGAAGGTACTGAGTACATAAAAGAGCCACTTGCACAATTTCATCAAGTTCAATCCTGTCATAGTTGTTTTTCAGGTCCTTGTCAACCAACAGGTCAATTTTCTTCTCTTGATGGAGTTTCTTCACCTGCAAGTATAGTGATGGGGATATATTTAGGACATATCGCATGATAGCTCGTTATAAGCTTGACGAAATTTATTGAAAAAAGTTCAGAAATTACTTTGACTAGTTTATCTGTAATATTTTTCATTAGTTAGGTAAGAAATAGGTAACAAAAGTTTTAAATGAGTTTTTAATCCATGTAACCATGACAAAGTTTAATACTTACAAAAACTTTTTGGTTAGTTTTAGTCCTCATCAATATAGTTATTTTAAATGGTTACAAAAACTCTGTGCTACAAACAACTTCAGCAGCCAGAACTTGATTGGCAAAGGTGGTTTTGGAAATGTCTACAAAGGGTATCTCCAAGATGGTACAGTTATAGCAGTAAAAAGGCTCAAAGACGGTAATGCCATTGGAGGTGAGATCCAATTCCAGACTGAAGTTGAGATGATCAGCTTAGCTGTCCACCTAATAAAGCTTAATTAACTATAATTTGTATTACTAGGCCTTTAGAAGCCGTAATATAAAATTATGCATAAAAACAATAAATTAGCTGTATTTTATTGTATACGGGTACTGATATTAGTTTACTGTTTTATTTATTATTTAAACAATAAATTAGCTGTATTTTATTGTATACGGGTACTGATATTAGTTTCCTGTTTTATTTATTATTTTTTCTACAGAGATCCTAAAATCATTATTCTTGAAGCAGTGAAAGCTAGACAAATTCATCTTTCCAGCGGATCAAGAAACACTCAATTCGGAGCTAAATTGAATTTTATATAAATTATTTAAGGAAGGTTACGCGCACAGAGTCGGTCCACCGGGCATGCCTCAGTAAAATAATTATCATAAATTCGATAGACCGCCAAAATTAGTCAAAACGGTGGCGTTTGAAAGATAACTTAACAAGCTTTCTAATGAGACCAGAATCGTTTCATTTGAAGAATAATTGAGAAAACTGCAAGCTTCGAATTGCGCGGTACTGCACTGAAACGAAGATAGTGCGACTCTTCAACATCTTATTGGATTAGGTCCGGTTATGGGCCTTGTAAGTTGTAATTGTACATTAGTTGAAGTATATAGTAAATTAACTTAATGTAATAACGGATAGTCGAAGTTTTCAAGTTCAGATTCAATCAAATCGATCAGAATTCTCTCAGTTGTTCTCTCCATTGCACCATGACTCTTTCTCCTTGCTTGCATCTCAATCTTCCATGTATGTGTTCATTCTTCTTCATTGTTCTTCACGAATTGGATCTGGATTTCCTTCTTCTATCATCTTTAATTGTTTTTCTTTACTGAATTCATGAATTAGATTAGGTTTTTACCGAACAAAATCTGCTGGAACTGAATTGCATGTGACAACTTGTTTAAGACTTGTGTTCTTGACTTGCTTTAGCTCGTGGATGTCTCTCGGTTGAGGATTGAAGCTTGCAATCACTTTGTTGAACTATATGGTGAATGCTTGATTGATTAATTAGGTTTTCACAATGTCAAAAAAGCAATAGTTTTGCAATTTTGCTTACACCGAATCTGCTTCACAGTTCTTGTTCTTGCTTTCTTTAATTTTCTGCATTTTACTGCTTTTACTTTACTGTTTTGATGTTTTAATTGCTTTACAGTCACGGTAGCTAGGTTTTATTGCTTTGTTTACTTGCTTTAATCTCTGTAGAAGCTTAGTTTTAGGTTTAGATAGATTTTACTGCATTGTTTTAGGTTCTGTCATAGATTAGCATAAGATTAGAATAGTTTAAGTGTAGCTAGGTTCTCATTTTAATTTTCTGCACTACAAATTCCCCTTGAATACTGAAAAACTCATAAATATACATTACTTCACTCATTCCATCATTCACATCACACATTTACCACTGTTTTGAACATTTTGACCGAAGTGACCACTGTCACTCGGTCAGGTTTTCAGCCACACGCACCAAAACACTCTCACACGGTCATCTCACATTTTTAAAACTCAAAATACAAAAATATTTGCATTTACATCGGTCAACCATACATTTTATACACTTCATTTGATTCTTGACCGAGGCATTTCTTCATATATTCATTTTGACCGAGACCTTTTATTTTGTTGATTTTCTGACCACTTTTCTGACCACCAGTACTGTTCACTACGGTCATTTTCCATTTTAAAAACTCAAAACTCAAAAATAATTACATTTCACTCGGTCATTCATATATTTTACACCTTGCATTTGATTCTTGACTGAGAAATTGTTTTTACATTTCATTCTGACCGAGAGTTCACATTTCTGACTGTGGTTTCTGACCGTGGTTACTATTCATTGTGGTCAGATTTATGAATTTCGTTTAACTTCATTCATCTGCATTTTTTTCATTTCTGTCTACATTCTTATAGGTCAATCATATATTTTGTTCACTAATTTCCATTTTTGACCGAGACAACTCATTAGTTTTTGTATGTTGACCGAGAGCACAAAATTCTGACCGTGATTCCTGACTGTTATTACTGTTCACGTCGGTCAGATTTACGATACTGACCGTGGTTACTGTTCATCACGGTCAGATTTGTGATTTTGGGTCAGATTTGTGATTTTCCATATTTTTAGCCATTTTTGCATTCTGCAGTATTTTCATTCACTGCATATTAGGATTTTACCTCATTTTAATTTAGTCTAAGATTGTAAATTTCATTTTTAGTTTAGTTCCCCATTGAATCATTCATAACTCAATCATATACTCTTATTACTTCCACGGATTGATATTCTGGTTCCCATTGTACTGCATTATTACTGTTTTAGGAGAACTCATTTGAAAGTGTTGAAACTGTGACATATCAATTTAACTTCTTTCAAGGCTCTTGGTTTATCCGTACATGTCAAATGGAAGTGTTGCTTCCCGTCTGAAAGGTATGACAATTTTATACTGCTAGATTACTGTTACAATTTATGTAGCTTTTAACACAATTTGGTTCTTCAAATTGGTAGCTTGTGTTACTTTAGTATTCGTAAGTCCATGTTTATGCAAATTGATCCTCCAAAAGTGTTAACTGGCTAACAAGTTAGTCCAGCTGAGTTGTTAACTTGTAAACAATTTTATATCTCAAAGGACTAATTTGTAAAACAAGTACTTTCAGTAAGCAAAAGAACAGAGGCAGTCACTTTCTAGGACTCGATTGCAAGCTTGGATAAGATACACTTAGTCCCATACTCCTTTGCTTTCACTTCGATCTCCTATATTTAAGAATTTCACTTGGTCTTATAAAGTAGCTCAGGCAAATGGTGCTTCTGTCAGTTTTTTGTACTAACAGTATTAGTTTTGGCTGAGGTGACAAACATGTATCTCTCACAATTTTCTAATTACCAAATTAATATGATATATTGATGTAAAGACCAACTTGGTCCAACACAGATGTTTTAAGGATCCAATATTAAAAACTTTTAAATTTAGAGACCAAACTGAAATGAAAGCAAAAACAAATAGGTGAGGGGCCAAATGTGTATTTTATCTAATAACTTGTACATATATCCAGTAGCAGTATTCTTGGGTCGTCTGTCAGACAAATGAAACTTTTTATGCAAATGTCAACTCAAATGCACTCCTAATTCCTTAAAACCAAAGTAAAAGAATTGTTTTGAATTTCCAAACATATCATTTGTTTTATGAAGTAGGAGGATTCATTACCTTCATATGAAACAGCCAAGCCAGCTTTGGACTGGCCTACGAGAAAGAGAATAGCTTTAGGAGCGGGAAGAGGCTTGCTATATTTGCATGAACAGTGTGATCCAAAGATTATTCACCGGGATGTGAAGGCAGCAAATATCTTGCTTGATGATTTTTGTGAGGCTGTGGTGGGAGATTTTGGGCTGGCAAAGCTGTTAGATCACAGGGATTCACATGTGACAACAGCAGTGAGAGGCACTGTAGGGCACATAGCCCCCGAGTATCTCTCAACAGGTCAATCTTCTGAGAAAACCGATGTGTTTGGTTTTGGAATTCTTCTTCTTGAACTAATATCTGGCCAAAGGGCTCTTGAGTTTGGGAAAGCAGCAAACCAGAAAGGAGCCATGCTAGACTGGGTGAGCAACCACAATTAGTTTCTTTTTCATTTATTTATTGTTGGATTAATATGTTTGGCAGTCTTGTAAACAAAATGAATTTTGACATTGTTTTTGTACAGATTTCTTTGATTGGTTTTATTCCTTGTAAATTTTACGAGTTTTGAAAAAATTCTTTACCACCATGTAATGATGTGATGCATCTATTCCAAGGCAAAGCTCTTCACGGTGTTGTTCTAAAATAGGAAGAAAAGTTGAATTAAAGAAGAGTAAATCAATGATATGCCTACCAAATTGGCGTATGAACCCTTCAGTTCAAGATCCACTGACCATTAACGTCAAAGAATATTTGCTTGTTATATCTTTGTCTCCACCAGATGAGGAAGCCAAGTCCCAGAACTAGTAAGCATATGCAGCTTAAGCTTGAAGCAAACGCCAAGGCTACTTTGTGACTGTTTGGCCTTTTGGTGGATTGTGTATCTCGAAAAGCATTTCAGGAAGTTATGTTAGGGTATGAAGGTAATTTGCATGCAAAAAGAAAAAATAAATACAAGGGTGGAGAATGATGGAAACAATGATTATAAACATGCTACGACAACCTAGAACTTGATAGTTTTGTGAAATAATTATGCACCCCAAAACAGTACTTTTGGACTAAGTTTTAGACTAAGTCCACTATATGACAGATAAGAAGAAACGCTTAAGATGCAACATCATGAAGGTGAAAAAGCATAAACAAATCTAAAACATGTAAGAACTATGATTACCTTGAGAATTATTCGGAGCCAAAGGAATTGACGTTGTTCTGAAGCAGTTCTGCTCGACTCCAGTGGCACATATCTGAGGATTGCCTACAATACTGTTTCGAAAGAAGGAAAATATACAATTAATTAATAATATGTAAGCAAAATTTATAATTTTAACTCACGTGAGGAAAACAGAGAAAATATTGAATGAGAAAAAAATAAAAAAATTAAGACCAAACACCTTACTTGAATGTTTTTGCATTTATTCTTGGTACAGGTTCACTCAAGTTATTATAGGGATATCCCTAAGAAAAATTCAGAAGACAAATAATTGATCAGTAATCAAGTTAATGAGGAGGAAAAAAATAATAAATCAATGATAGAGGACTAGAAGAGACTTACAGAAAGGCAAGTGAGACTGTTATTGTTTAGTCGCCTTATAAAAATTCAAATTCCTATCATCAAATTCTTGATAGAAATTAATACACATTTTTTGTAAATCCTATAAAAGAATGCATAGCATTATGTTCTTGAACTTACAAATAGTTGAGACCCTTCATGTGGGCAGAGAATCTGGAAGTTGACCAGTGAATACATTGTCAGAAAGATCAAGAGTTTGAAGCTTTTGGAGCCTTCCAATCTCATAGGGGATTGGTCCTGTTATATTATTATCCTGCAGAAGCCTACAAAATGCATAGTATGATAATATTCTGAACACAAACTTCCCCCGATTCTAATTTTACCACAAACAGCATGTTACTCACACAGTCAAGAGGTTAGGTAAGTTGCCTATGCTTGGTGAGAGTTTGCCAGATATACTTTGGCTTGGAATTCCACTGAAAAAGAAAAGTGTGAAATAAGTTTGACTTACAGGGCAGTGACAAGATGATCAGAAGAACATGTGACCATAGCCCAGTTGCAAGGATCTACAGCATCACCATCCCAGTTACCCAAGACAGAATATGGATCCACCAGAGCGTTCTTAATGCTCATCAGAGCTTGAACTGCATGTAAGACAAGCATTTATTAGGACTAGAGAGTGACCTTACATTTGTGTGCTCTAGGAAATAAGGGAAGTGCTCCTAGTCAATCACCTTCAGAGTTGACACCTTTAGGAGAAAGCAAACCAGCCACTGAAGTCCAAAAGAAGAACAAAGCCAAACAACATAGAGCTACATCCCCTCTTTTCTCCATTGGGTTGAATGAAGTATCACCAGAAACTAATATCCGTTATTACCACAACAAAACTGGATCAAGTTGTATCTTAAGGAGGAGGCAAGTAAAGAGCAGGTTTTGAATGATTCAGCTAACACCACCAAATCCAACTTGGTTTGTTTTTGTTACATGTCATGTTTTACATCAGAAGAGGAACCTCAACCAAGTCCAACGGTACCACTCCCACCTGCTTCCAAGCCAGAATTGCACTCACTTCCACCCTTGTGTCAGACTTGAATCAGAGCCAATGGTAAAAAGTCTTAAAAGAGAGCCAGCGTGCCTGTTGATAGTTCAACAAAGAAAGCAAAGCAAAGAATATATAATAAAAAGACATAAGGCACCCCCTCCATTACCCTCTTTCTAGATAAATGCAAAGAATGATTGAAAAAGAAAATTCCATCATGATGCATTGGTCTAACAAATCTATAAGACTGTTAGGACTGCATAAGAAATAATGAGAAAATGAAAAATTATTCAAACAAATCTCCATTTTTTAGCTCAGTGGATATGAATTGAGGAACTGGAATAAGCTGATATGTACCGTAACCAACGGAATTCATCAAAAATATGAATTATTGATATTAGAGAAATAATGTACAGTTGATAAAAGAAAGGAGACTGGCTTATATTAATAACAACCAAAAGTATATGAATCAATGATGATAAAAAGTTGGTGGATTGATCATCAATGAAAGGATAATAGTGAGCTCTGTTTTACAAGAAAATGTAATTGAACAAGTAAAATAGCAGTATATCTAAAACTTCTCATAGAAAGCCTCTATATCTGAAACTTCTCAAACAATGCCAGAGTTGAATACATGTAAATCCAGTAAGGTATTGTAATGTCCCGTCTCAATTTCCTCATCTTTTACTTGATGAAGAACAAGGGTCTCAATAACAAGGTCTTCCCAATCAACATCGTCAACTACCATTCCTTTTCTCTTCCTTCTTTCAGGACAAGAGCTATGTGAAGGTCCAGGAATCTCAGCACCCAAGGGATGCATAATTCGCTTTATCCTTAGCTTAGCAGCATTGATTCTCTCCTGCCTCATTTTACATTTCAATTGACCATTGACAAATGATGGCGGCATGGTCTCCACTCCAATATCCTTCTCCAGAAGATGTTTAAGCAGAAGCTTTTTGCTCAGTTCAGATTTTCCATCCCACCACTCCGTACACTGTTGCAGATCAAATCCAAAACTTCTTCTTTTCCGAGCATTCCCACTCCCTCTCAAAGGCTCGGCACAACGATTTTCATCTAAAAACTTCTTATACAGCACAGACAAGCATTCAGGCGAAACCTGCAGCCTGTCAGCATCCCCAACACCCAATCTATTAGCCTTACTCTCGGACAAAAAATACTGCAAATCCTTCGGCGAAGTCACGCCATCAACCCCATATTCTAATTCATCATCATGTCTCAAGCATTCAGCAACCACATCCTCCAAGTCCACTGCAGCCCGATGAAGATCCTTCCTCTTCTCCTGAATCACCCCAGGCTTCAACATAGCCTTCCTCTCCAAATACTGAATCACAAAAGGCGCATTCTTAACAATGTTCTTAACAGTAACATCCTTCCCCCAAGGCAGCACCTGCGCAACTTTCACAAGTGTCTCAAGCAACTCCTTATACCTAGTCGTACAAGTTGAAACCTTAGCATGAACCTCCCTAGCCAATTCCTCCATCTCCACCGCAATCCCATTCAGCTCCGCCACAAACACCACCACCGCCACCACTAACGGAAGTGGCCGGCGACCAGTGCTCAAAAACCACTTCACCGCACACTGAATCAAAAACACCCCCTGCTTCCGAATCCTATCAATCACACCCCTATCAAGAGAGGCAAAAATTCTCGAATTCTTAATTGTCCGTTCCAACGAATGCACAATGTCAAACTCCGGAAAATCAGACCTCAGATTCAAAAAATCAACGACACGCAGAATCATCCTACCGATTTCATACAAGTCGCACCCCACCGCTGAGGCGACTTCCGCCATCGACAAGGGTCGATCCTCCCTCCGCATGACAACATACGCGCACGCACCGATGAGCACACGGAACCACTCGCCCTGGCCGAACTCGCCCTCGGTGATAGTGGACGCCATGCTCCTGACGTCAACGCTCTTGGAAGATAACCCTAGGGTGTAAGTTACTTCCTCGATGGTGGTTTGCGCGGCGAAAAGTTTCCTATCTTTGTACGAATAAAGGCTGCCCGAACCTGCGGTGCCGACACGGATGAAGGTGCCCTGAGGACCGTCGATGGCGCCGATTTGGGCGTCGAATTGGTCGAACTGCTGAATGCCGCCGCACGAGGAACAGATTAACTCGCCAGAGACATCGTCGCGGATGAACGATGTTTTGTTGCAGTAGCTGCACGGAGAAGACATCACGTACCGAAATTATTAATTACTTTGGGTTTTATAAATAATACCGACTTCCGAGCTGAATAGAGCTGAGCTTGTGACACTCTAAATCTAAGGTAAGGTAGGAATCGAGTCAAATCGGGATTTTTGGCATCAATGACCTTAACGCTAGGGATAAAGCCTTTCTTTCATAACCAAATTCATTCAGAAACGCTTACCCTGGACCCTGACGTTAACGAAGCTCCAATGAGTCGCTCCTCGCTGGAATGAGGGCCGGACCTTCATCTACTCACTACTTACGCAATAACCGATCCTCGGACGGAGCCGTAGGTATTCCTACTTATGAGAACATAGTAATGGAGAAGATAATAGCCGAAATAGGATTCGTTTTGGCTAGAGCGCCCAAATCTGCTATATATTTGACACGGGTTTGCCGTAATGCTAAAACAATGGCGAATGCATATATAGTACCTGTGTTACCAAAACGCTTACCTTTTGATTCATGTCGATTCTATTCTTCGTCTGAGACAACTGGAAGTAAATGTTGATCTATTTATTAAAAATTTATAACATAAACAAAATATGGCTGTAGTTTAGTGGTAAGAATTTCAGGTGAGGATCAATCTCAGCATGGATTTCAATTGCACCGCCAAGGTTAGAAATTCTCTCTCCACATCTTCATTGTCTGATATATGGAGCCCCAAATATTTGCAAATCCTAAGTATTCCTTCCTCTGTTCCTCTTATTTTGTCTGTTTCCTTCTCTCATCTTGAATTGTTACCAAATATAGCAGTTAACCCCAGTTAAGTAGTGGATATGGTTTCTTCTAGTGTTCTTGTTTCAGTTGAAGAATGGATACATACATCGATTGTCTAGAATTGGGAAAATTATCACATGGATTATTAGTGAGATGAAATCACTGATGATGAATCCCAAAGTAAATCTGAAAGTTCTGCTGATTTTTTCTTTCAATGTGTTAACTTTGAAAACATATCTGGTTAATCATATTCTTTATGATACATTGACATAAATATCAACATGCCATGGAACTTTCAATAAAATCTTGTTTATCTTTTTGCTGGGTAAAAGCTTTGGATTTTGTCTTATAGCCCCATCCGAAAAGTTTTAAATAATTCTAAATTAAATAAGAAATTATGATTTAAATTTATCTGATATAAGCTTCTATTTTTGTTAACTAAATCTGTAAATTTCCTATCTACCTACTAATGCAGTTCACCACATTCCAATTTGGGTGTGCTGGATGCCAATTTCCAACTCGTTTTGATAACTTTACACGTTATCTTTATATTTTATATCCCCACAACAACATGGATAAAGACTTAGATGCAGATATTTTTCATTAAAAGAAAATATTGAGAATAATAATATATTAAATGAACTTAGTAAATTTTTTTATGATCAATATATAATATCCAAAATCTATAAGAGTAATATAATTTCACAATCCTAGAAGTTTAGAAAATATAACGATAATTTATATAATATTAACATTTAAAAAATTATAAACTAAAAATTCGTATATTATAGGGCCGGCCCAATTTTTGGGTTTGAAAGATTGCATGACAATCACCTCAAGTTGGATGGGTCGAAGTTGAGCCTAATGCGTGGGTACGAAAGCCTCTTGTATAGGTGCTTTTAGCAATGTTTAAAACGGGAAGAGAAAATAAATTGGTTAAACTGAAGCAATATTATATGTATATATTTTACATCAACTTTTAAAAATATATTAATTTTTAATATTTAGTTTTAATTTCAAATTAATATTTTTACATGAATTATTAGGTATTTTTATTTATATATTATTTCAAAAACAAGTCACCAGAATAAAGTTGTTAATAAAGAAAATATTAACATTATTTTGCATTAATGATTTAGGATATAGTTTCATTTAGATTATGGTTGATGATATTTTTTTATTTGAGATTATATATTATTATATTAAAGAGTAATTTTGTTTAAAATTAACAAAAAAAGCTATAGATATTCAGTGGTAATAGTTATCCAAAAAATTTGGTCTCATTACTCCTCTTTATACCTTCTACGCTTGAGATCATCGCGTAAGATTTCAATTCTGTTCCTTATCTCTGCAATGTACCTGCTTCCATGTATCAAATTTTCATTCCATTGAAACCTATTTAGGATCAAAAGAAAGGCGTACACCAATCCATCTTACTTCGTCTCAGAAGCCCGCAACGAGGTCAAACCCGGAGACCGTGATTGTGAACAAGTTTCACGATCGAGCGTACAACAGAGCGAGATACACTCTTGTGTCGTATGTTCTGCACGACTGCACCGGAAGTGCCGTTTACAGCCCCTTGCACCAAACCGTCATAGCCATGGCTGAGGCTGCCTTCAACACCATCAACCTCGAATCCCACGACGGCGCTCACCATCGCTTGGGCGTTGTTGATGACATCGTTTTCCACCCTCTCGCACGTGCGTCAATCGGTGAGGCAGCGTGGCTCGCCAAAGCTGTTTCGGCAGACATTGGCAACCGTTTCAGTGGTAATTATTTCTAGTATTTCAAATAAAATATTAATTATTTTCTCTTTAATATGTCCTTAAATAAATTTATTTTGTTACACGCCGCTGAATGCAGTGCCAGTGTTTCTGTACGCCGCGGCCCACCCAACAGGGAAAGCGCTGGACACCATAAGGCGAGAACTCGGGTACTACCGACCTAATTTCCAGGGCAGCCAATGGGCCGGGTGGGCCATGCCGGACACTCTCTCGGAAAGATGTAAAATAGATGTTATCACACATTACAGAAAATCGTTTAATAGCACGCTCACATGTTATAAAAGACTGTCTCACAATATTTCTGAGAACTTGAGAATGTGGCGGAATATAACTCACAATATTTCTGAGAACTTGAGAATGTGGCGGAATATAATTTCAAAGAACGTATTCTCACTAGACTATTTTTCACAACATTGTAGAATACTGTTTCAGAGAATATTACATATCCACTATCAAGTCTTGTTGCATACTTTTTCTTATAAATAGATATCACTTCACACTTTTCAGAACATATATCTCTGATCTTCTCTGAACTTCTTTATGTGATCCTGAGTTAATTTACTCTTTTGAGAGTTTCTTGCTAGTTTTTGAGATGCTCGGATATTCATATATCTCTGATCTTCTCTGAACTTCTTTATGTGATCCTGAGTTAATTTACTCGTTTGAGAGTTTCTTGCTAGTTTTTGAGATGCTCGGATATTTCGAGAAGTTCCTGTTGTATTCTGGGGCACAATCCGAGAAATTTCTGTTATATTCTGGGAGACTTGCACAATACATCGCAGATAAGTCTTTAAGAACAATGATTATACACGCCTCAGGAATAAAGTTCGTTCGTGTCTCTATTAGCTTTTACAATAATCTTAAGGACTTATGGCTGATAGTACGAATATCAATAACTTCCTTCAATAGTTTTCGAATATTGGAGAGTGAAAGAAAAGGAATTATGAAGTGCTCATAGATCAAAGTTAGTCTTCTGATTATGATTCGTGTATGTTATTATGTGAAAATCAATTCATGTATGTTATTATATGATTATATATATGTTATTACGTGAGAATAAAGAATCTAAACGTAAATAGTAGTTTTACGAATTAGTAACATATAAAACTACAAATTAAAATACATGTGGTATCGTAGTTATACTTGTTAGATTTATGATTTTTCTCTTATGATAATTAAAAAAAAATTCTCAAAATTGAATAAAGAATAAATTCTAATATATGTTTTAAGTCGCAATCAATTTCAAATTGAAATTAATTTCATAGCCCCTGTGTGAATAACACCGTAATTCTTATTAAAATGTGAATAACCCTGTATTTGATTTTAATTGAAAAAGCAAATTATGTGATTGGGTTAAAGGTGAATCATATATGAAATTGATTACTGCATGTTATAATTACGATGAAAGAAAGGTAATAGATGAAATGCTATCAGCATACATCATGCAGCTTGTCCATAGAGCACACGTGTCAAACACAGATTCTTTTTTGGATTTATTACACCAATGAAACAGAAAGAATGAATTATGCTTCATGAGTATATGAATTATGCATGACTTAGATCTACTTATTATTTTGTACATACGTATAGGATATTATTTTGTCTGCATATTATTTTGTATATACGTGTATAATATTATTTTGTCCATATAATATCTTGTACATACGTATAAGAAAGGGTTTGAGGTTATGAGACTGTATTAAAGCAATGAATCTAACCCCACTTTATCTTCAAGAAGAAGGAATGTGGAAAGTCAAGTCATCATGCATCTCAGTGCAAATATAGAATAAGAAACGACAATCTTCCTGAGAAAAATTTAGCCAAAGGAGAAGATACTATTATTGTGGTCGTTTCCCAAATAAACCTTGTGACAAATGTGAGCAAATGGGTGGTAAATTCTGGTGCTACCAGGCACATATGTGCAAACAGAAGTGTTTTTACCTCCTATACTAATGTTGGGGATGGAGAAGAACATATTTATCTTGGTGATTCCAGGACAACTCTTGTCTTAGGAAATGAAAAGTTCCTAAAACTCATATTTTGAAAGACTCTGACCTTGAATGATGTGCTACATGTGTCATTAATCAGAGCTAATCTAATCTCTGTAACAATGTTAGAAAAAGTTTAAAAAGTTGGGGTTAAAGTGTCATTCGAATCTGATAAAATTGTTATGACAAAAAAAAATGTATTTGTAGGGAAGAGATATTGTGACCAAAGCCCTTGATTGTTAATGAGTCTTATTCTTCTGCTTATATTATTGATTCATATGATATGTGACATTTATAGATGATTACTCTAGATAAACCAAAATATACTTAATCAAATAGCTTTAGTGCACCTAATCACCCTTGAAAGAAGATATACTTACAATGTTTATTTTTAAGAAAATTGATAAAACTTCCTATGAATTATGGAGAGGTTATAAACCTTAAATATCTAAGAGTGTGGGGGTGCCTAGCTAAGGTAATGTTACCCAATCATAAGAAAAGGAAACTAGACTCTAAAACTTCTGATTGTATGCAGAACATAGTGCTGCCTATAGGTTTTTTGTCCTCAAAAGTGATAATTGAGCATAATACTATAGTGGAGAAAAAAAATGTTGAGTTCTTTGAACATATTTTTTTCTCTAAAGGTTAGTGAGATACCTAAACAATCTATAGAGATTAATAGTGATAAAATATATGAGGATTTGAGGAGAAGTAAAAGACAGAGGAAGGAAACCTCCTTTGGAGATGATTTCTACACTTATCTAATTGAAAATGATCCAATGAGTTTTTTAGAGGCTATCAGGGCTCCTGATGCAATACATTGGGATAAGGTCATTAAGAATACATTGGGATAAGGTCATTAAGACTGAAATTGATTCAATTAAAAAAAATAATACTTGGATTTTGGTAGATTTGCCGAAAGGAACAAAACCTATTAGTTGTAAGTGGATCTTTAAGAAAAAGTATCATTCTGATGGATCCATAGATAAATATAAGGCAAGATTAGTAGCAAAGGGTTTTACTCAAAAATCCAATATTGATTATGTTGACACCTTTGCCCCTGTGACTAGGATTTCCTCTATTCGAGTTTTATTAGCTCTAGCAGCTATCCATAAACTAGTTATACACCAAATGGATGTTAAGACAACCTTTTTGAATGAGAAATTAGAGGAGGAAATTTATATGACTCAACCTGAAGGGTGTGTTGTTCCAGGTCAAGAGAATAAAGTATACAGACTTTTAAAATCCTAATATAAATTAAAACAAGCACCAAAACAATGACATGAAAAACTTGATAGTGTTCTACTTTGTAATGACTTTTCAACTAATGATGCTGATAAATGTGTGTACTCTAAATTTGAGAGTGGTGAATGTGTCATTATATGTTTATATGTAGATGATATGTTAATATTTGGTACATGCATTGATATTGTCTCCAGAACTAAGTTGTTTCTGGGATCTAAATTTGAAATGAAAGATATGGGTGAAGCCAATGTGATTTTGGATGTTAAAATCATAAGGAAGGGCGATAGTATTTTTCTATCCCAAGAAAAATATATTGAGAAATTTCTTAGGAAGTGTGGGTGTTATAACGCCAAACCAATGAATACCCCTTATGATGTTAACTTTAAGTTAAAAAAAAAATAGAGGAGACTCAATCTCTCAATCTCAGTATGCCCAGGTAATTGGGAGCTTACTGCATTTAATGAGCTTTTCTAGACCTGACATTGCTTATGCAATAGGTAGACTGAGTAGGTACACTCAATGTCCTAATTAAGAACATTGGAATGCACTTACAAGACTTATGAGATATTTAAGAGGTTCAATGGATTATGTTATTGAATATAGTGGATTTCCCGTTGTACTAGAAGGATACAGTGATACTAACTGGATTTCTGATTCAGATGAGACAAAATCCCTTAGTGGCTATGTATTCACACCCGGGGGTGGTACGATTGCATGGAAATCAGCCAGGCAAACAATTATTGCAAGATCAACAATGGAATCTGAATTTGTTGCTCTCGAAATGGCTGGTAGTGAACCTGAGTGGTTGAAAAACTTCTTAGTAAACATTCCATTAGGAATGAAACTGATCATGTCTGTATCAATACACTGTGATTGTCAATCGGCAATAGCTATAGCAAAAAATAAGAACTACAATGAAAAAACAGACCTATACAGTTGAGACATAATTAGTGAAGCAGCTGCTAAAAAATGAAACAATTTCCATTGACTATGTGAAGTCAGAATGGAATCTAGCAGATCCTCTGACAAAACCCTAGCAGATCCTCTGACAAAACCCTTAGTGAGAAATATGATTTTAGAAACATCGAGGGGAATAAGACTTAAGCAACTTGCAAACAAACATGTGATGATAACCCAACTTTTGTGATTGGAGATCCCATGAATAAGGTTCATATGGGTAAAAACAAGTCACTTGTTAGTTCTACTAGCACTAAAATTAATTAAAACCAATTATGTCCATTCCTATGGTGTATATGTGAAAGTGCTAGATACTGCATCATTGAGAGGTTAAACTTTGTAATTAAAATTCGATGTGTTGTACGAATTTTAGTCTAAACAAAATTTTTAAACGATTTCATATCCCTTAAGGGTGGTGTATGATTTGCAACATACGCTTGATGAAGTCACTTATATGAGTGTCGAGTGGGACTGCTTGTATGAGATCTTTGCAAGATTTCTAGAGCACTCATGAATACCGGGCACGCGCATGGCCTAGTAAGCGCAACACAACAATAATAACAAGAATTGTGGGGGTGTATTGTGATTATTAAAACCACTAACACACATTAAGTGTGTTGGTTCATATAGTTTGCTACATCAACTACACTGTGTGTTAAGTTTTTTTTAGTTTAAGACCGGTTCATATAACTTGTTATACCAACTCTGATGCATTACATCTTATATGAGACCCATGATTTTCTTCTTTTATTTCGTTTATCCCCTTTTGTTTTGCAATATGTAGGGGATTGTTGTAAATTAAGGGGTATTGCAAAACAGAGAACGTGTTCTCACACGTTGCAGAAGACTATTTCAGAAAAAAGTTGCAAAAGACCCTTTTAGTGAACGTGTTCTCACACAGAAGACTATTTCAAAGAACGTTGCAAACGACTGTTTCAGAGAACATTACATACTCACTACCAAGTCTTCCATAACTGTTAAAGACTTTATCATATAAATAGAGACCACTTCACACTCTTCATACTACACTTATCTGATCTTGTCTTCTCTCATCTTCTTTTTGTAAGTCCTTAAACAAAGTAGTTATAGACGGCTCAGGGATAAAAGTTATTCGTGTCTTTCAGAACAGTTTCACGGGCCAAAGGTATCTCACTGATCGGGGCACGCCCTTGGGTGGCACTCTACAGTGTGCCGATCCAGTGCACTGACGTGTCATCGGCAAGAAGAATCGCACGGAAGGTGAGTGCTCGCGGTGGTGGGCTTCCCACGGTGCAAACGCTTGCGCTTGTCCATGGCGAGGACTACTCTGAGATAGCCTGCATGCTGCTGGAGCCCAACCAGATTGGAGCAGACAGGGTGCAGCACACGGTGGAGACGCTGGCAGCACTAGAAGGAATTGACGTGGAACAGGGTTACTTCACCGACTCTTCTCCCGAAATGATTGTGGAGGAATACATGAAACTGATTACTGCTAACAGATCGTGATCGTGTCTCTGTGTCACCGTTGGACTTAATTGTTGATAAATAATAATATTAATCATAATCGCATGGGGTTGCCATTTCAGTAACGAAAGTTGTGATTCGTCATTGTGGAATTTGACTATTGTAATTAATCACCAGTAGTTTATAAAATGGACAAAATTTCCCTCAAAAAAATAAACATATATCGGGAATTTATGTTGTATTTACCACCGCTCAGGTTCGTTCTCCTTTTTCATCTGGTTTCTTTATCGGACGTGTCTTTCCATTTTCTCAATGCAATTTTGTCAATTATAAATCTTCGCTTGACTCTGTTGATCCAGAAAGTTATAAAAGTTATAATACAGGAGAAACAATCCCCTGGCCCCATTCACATGTGCTGGATTAAATAATATATTTGTTTGAGAGAATAGTAACATGTGACGAAATAAAATTTGGGATAATTTTATCTCGTGTATTCTTTTACGTATATATTAGAGAAAAATAAATATGATCGATAGAGTGAAAAATAATATATTTTCTTTATCAATATATTTTTCCTGAAAAAAAAGGAAATCATTATTTTTCGTTTATTTTCTTACATCCATATCTTTTCATTCTTCACTTTCCGGACATACAAACAAAATTTTATATAAATGATCACCGTTTTATATATATATATATATATATATATATATATATATATATATATATATATATATATAATATTATAGATAAGAATATATTGAGTTATTATTTTCTTTACAAAACATTTTATTAATTTTATACATCAATTCCTTATAATAAAAATAAAATATGAAAATATTTAATAATAAATTAAAATAATCTAATGTCACTATCTACGTTTTAAATCCCCATAATCAACCTAGTAAATTCTTTAATTTTTTATTTTTTAGTTTTTAAAATCAATTTTAAAACTATTTTTTAAAATAAAGTAAAAAACTTATTTCATAACTTTATTTTTGAAAATTATTCTAAACGAAAAATAATATCATTCCACAAATTTAAAGTAATTATTGACGAAATCCATTAATGAAAATAAGAAATTAAAATAAAAAATATATTTTATCAATTTTGAATTTTTTATTTTTACAAAATAAAAAACAAAAATAGTTTTTAAAAAAAATTAATAAATATTTACCAATAAAATATTTTCATTTTTGAAAACTAAAAAAATTGGAAATGATTTAAGAGTAAGCAACATGTCCTTAAATATTTTACAGGAGATAATATATTCAAATCTAAATATATTTAAATCTCACGTGGGTCAGATACAACGGCAGTTCATTAGAGAAACTTGTATAGATTGGACCGTATATTCGGTCCACAACATAACCTACGACGGTAACTTTACTTCTCATGCTATTCAAGATTCACTTCTACGGTGACACTATGCATCCTTACACGTAACATTGTAGTTTTTTTTGCTCTGTTTGTTTTTCTTCAAACACAGAGAATTATTGTCCTAAAGTTTCATTAAAGTGCCCACAATTCTCTTCCTTTTCCTCTCTTCCCCAATGCCCTTTTTCAACGCAATCCAATCTCATCCTTCTGTTGAATCTGTGATCCGCTTCCTTCAGCTACAATTCGCTTCCAATCTCTTTAATGGGTATTTTTTTATCTTGGTACATTCTACTAGGTTTCTTCTCAATGCAAACAATTTAACCCTCTAAAGGATGTTTGTATCAGATCTTAAATTTTCTTACATTAGTTCGCGACACAAGAATTAAAAATCAGGGTTAGTGATATATATACTTTTGTAAATGGGTGTACTTTATTTTTATTTTTATTTTATCTTTAATGAGTCATTTGATCTTTGAATAATTGTGGGCAAATTGAGTTCTTTTTTTTCCCTGGTTCCTTGTGTTTTGATGTAAATTAGGTGAGGCATAAGAATGAGTGATGTGATGGGTCCTAACTTGATCAGTGATCTTTCTCAAAGCATTATCGAGAGTATTCTGGTGCAGCTACCGATTAGAGAAGATGTGGGAACTAGCATTTTGTCTAGTAAATAGAGGTACAAATGGGCTTCAATTACTCAACTTGAGTTTGATGACAAATGTGTGCCCTTTAGTAATGACAGGGAGGTTGTTGAGAGGAGTGTTGTCAAGTTCATCACCACAGTGTTGTTTCTTCACCAAGGGCCAATTCATAAGTTTCAAATTACGAATTGGAAGTTGTAGAGTTGTCCTGAAATTGATCAGTGGATTCTTTTCCTCTCAAGGAATGATATCAAGGAATTGGTGTTGGAGTTGGGAGAAGAGGAGTTTTTTAGAATGCCTTCAAGCCTTTTCAATTGTAGAAAGTTGAATAGGTTGGAGCTCTCGCGGTGCGAGTTGGATCCGTTGCGTAGTTTTAAGGGTTTTTTGTGCTTGAGGAATCTCAACCTTCATCAAGTTTTGATATCTCATGATGCAGTTGAGAACCTTATTTCCAAATGCCCTCTCTTGGAGAGTTTATCACTGTCTTATTTTAATAATTTGGCTCTAACTATCTGTGTCCCGAATCTTAAGTACTTGTATCTTGAAAGTGAATTCAAGGATATATGTCTTGAAGATACTCCACTTTTGATTGAATTCTCTATTGCTATGTACATGACTGATGACATTGCTATGCATTTTGAGCAAAACTCAAACTGTAATTTTGTCAAGTTTCTTGGTGGTGTGCCTAATCTTGAGAAGCTTGTCGGCCATACCTACTTCACAAAGGTAACTCATCTGTTTATTGTGTTAGTTCATCCCCAAAGGAAGGGTGCTTTGAAATTATTATGCTGACAAACCTCTTTACTTAATTCATTTCTGCAGTTTCTTGAAGTACTTGAGCGTAGGGATTGACTCTGCATATTTCAATAACCTACCACAATTTAGAGACTATTGAATTATATCAAGTAAATTTTGAAGATACAAAAGGAGATACTTGTCATCCTTCACATGATTACAAGCTCTCCCAATCTAAAAGAACTACAAATTTCAGTAAGTCCTCAGTCCTTACTGAATGCAAAAGTCGAGATTTTCAGTTTTTACAAAGTAATAATGAATGGTTTTGTTATTAATTTTTACAAATTAGGCCTGTTTATGTAAGATTTACTACTTCATTACTTTATGCAATTGACTTTGACAGGGTTCATCGAACATACCAGTTGTTGTAGATGCCCCAGACTTGGATTTTTGGGATAAAGGATGTCTTTCAGATTCTGCATTTAACAAGCTTAAAATTGTGAAGTTGTCAGAAATGGGTAGTTGGTCTCATGAGATAGAATTTATCAAATATTTGCTTGGCCGTTCTCCCATGCTTGAGACATTGAGTATCATTCCTTGTGTATTTGAAATGGAGAATAATTTGAAAATGTTGATCAAATTGGTGAAATGTCGAAGAGCTTCTTCTAGAGCAGAAGTTATTTTCATCCACGAGTGACATTGTGGACTGTGTTATAAAAGGCATTCATTTATATCATTTCCATTGCCACTTCCCCTGGGTTTATGCATAACTTTCTTTTAAAATACAAATATTACCAATGTGAAAAACCTGTAAATTCTCAAGCTAAAGTAGGTATTTTATAAAGATGGAGTGAAGACCTGTTCAGCATAGAAGTTAGAGCCCATTTTACTAACTAAAAACCCAAGTAAACATCTGGAAAGTCAAAACATGGAGCTGATCAATGGTAACTGATAGACAGTTACAATAGGAATCGTAGCTGAAATTTGCATTTACTAGATTTTTTAAACCCTTTTGATTAGTATTTGCTCATCTGAACTTCATAAGCTAGATTGTACCATAGCATATTTTACAAAAATTAATTTCCACTCTACTACTTGCTAGCAGTATTTGTTGACAGTAACTTTTACTAGAGACTTGTATATCATGTTGTGGGTGTGATTGAGAGTACGAACACATGTCACCACACCTATTCTACTATTTTTTTGTCTCTGTAGTCCAATAGCACTGCTCAGAACTCTAATTCCTTAGCAATTCCTAACTCTCTGTCGCACCAGTTCTGTATCTCTTGAATTTATTATCTTTTCAAACTCATCAATTTATTTAACTCCATATAGGTGTTGTCCACGACCTTAGAATCTTGTGATATGTTGAGAGTTGCATGTGTTTCAGTCAACGACTATTATGGGGGAAAATTATTATTAACTTTTGGCAGTTTTCACTATAATAAATATTTGTAAGACTCGTGATATGGTTAATCACACAAGATTTTATACCTTTCTATTCTGAAGTATTTAATCTCACATTGTGTCAATGTCTATTGAAACTTGTCTAAAACAATGGTTTAAGAGTTGTGATGCGGTGTGGTTAATGACATTTTGCCCTAGTGTCTTTCTTTTAGGAGCTTATTCCACCTGGAAACGATTTGACCTCTTGTATAAGTTTATACCAAATAATGATTTATGCATTAAAACTTCATCTTGCATAACATAAGAATGGTTATACTGGTACAAATTCATCCTTTCAGTTTGCCATAATTTATATCTGCTCTTGCCTTTGGCATAATAAGTGCACGTGGTTGGTAAAATTCTTGATTTATTTGATATTATGTTGTTTTAGTAAATGGATCATTGTTCTCACTAAAATTGTTCTAGTTTTGGTACTGTGAAAATTCTATTCCTTGTAAAAGATCAATCAATAACATTGTGGTAGAGAGTTCTTTACCTTTTTACCTGAGAGACCACCCTTTACCAGCAATTTCATTTCCCTTAGTCCTTCTTCTTTCTATGGTTACACCGTTTAAAACAAAACGAGTAAATGTAAATTAATTAAAAGTGTTTGTTTGGATTCATTTCTTAATTTTATTTTATATTATTATTATTATTATAAGGGTATTTTTTTCACTCATTAATTTATTTTATTATTTATTTTTTTTAATTTAAAATAATTTCATCAACTAATTTTTTTTACTCATTTTCTTTCACTTTTCATTTTTTTTTGTTATTAAAGCCGACGTCACTTTTTATTTTCTTTCTCAAGTTTTATACTCTCTCAAATTCACTCATCAATACAAACACATGATGTTAAGCATTTGAATTGCTTTAGACATCTTCAGTTTGAGTATGAACAGTTTGAGTACACAACAAACTTAGAATAATCTTAAATGTATTTCATGTTCATTTCAACGAACAAATCAAACTTCTTTCTCTTGATCAATATTTTTTTTTTCACTTCAATTTGTATTCACTCTTAATTATTACTTATTTCCATATGTTACTATGGATAATTTTCTATATTTAGTTGTATTTCAGTTTGTACTCACTCTTTAATTATTACTTCTTTTCCCATGTTGTTACGGATAATTCTCTATGTTTAGTTCCGTGAGAAAAATACAAGTTGAAAAATATCGAATAAAAATCCTCTTCTGTTTTAGAGGTTCCAATAGGTAAAAGAAAGTAATGTTAATATATATATATATATATATATATATATATATATATTATTCTCGAAGTTTTATTTCATTTAATGATATTTTTTCTAAAACACTATAACTTTAATCAATGATTATATCATGGCTGAAAACCTACAAATTCCAATACAAAGGTGAAAACTCTCAAATCCCAAAATACTATTATTGACAGTTTCAGTACAATATATTTATATGAACTTTATTCGTCTAACAAGTTGAAGGAGCCAGAAGGACATTTCCCACAAAATCTTCACTCCATCATTTAAGAAAAACACTTAACACTCAACCTATAAGTCAATGTTTCCAATCAGATTCTGTACAGTCAGAAACTAGCATCAGTCTTTGAGATGCTAATGTTACACCAAGTTCACTGCAACTCAGGCAATTGCATTTGAAGAAACTTAACTTTCTTCCACTCTTCACCAACTTAAATGTCACACACAGTGACTTTGTGAATTATCTTGGCCCAGAAAGTTCCATTGCTTGTGCAAGTAGTGAAGAGTCATCAGTGAGATCAGAGTAGCGCTCTGAAGAGGAGAGTTCATTTCCTCTACATCTTGTTGATTCAGCTCTCTGTGAGGCTTCCCATTTCTCTGCAAGACCATCTCCTTCAAGCATCCTAACCACTTCAGACATCTTGGGTCTGTGACTTGGAAGGTACTGAGTACATAAAAGAGCCACTTGCACAATTTCATCAAGTTCAATCCTGTCATAGTTGTTTTTCAGGTCCTTGTCAACCAACAGGTCAATTTTCTTCTCTTGATGGATTTTCTTCACCTGCAAGTATAGTGATGGGGACATATTTAGGACATATCGCATGATAGCTCGTTATAAGCTTGACGAAATTTATTGAAAAAAGTTCAGAAATTACTTTGACTAGTTTATCTGTAATATTTTTCATTAGTTTGGTAAGAAATAGGTAACAAAAGTTTTAAATAAGTTTTTAATCCATGTAAACATGACAATGTTTAATACTTACAAAAAACTTTTTGGTTAGTTTTAATCCTCATAAATATAATTATTTTAAATGGTTACTATAGTAATTTAGTGATAATGTGCCATGCATCTACACATGTCTAATTAGAAGTTTCTCTTAGGTGACATATGACATGGCATATCTAGATGCATCACATCATTACATGGTGGTAAAGAATTTTTTCAAAACTTGTAAAATTTACAAGGAATAAAACCAATGAAAGAAATCTGTACAAAAACAATGTCAAAATTCATTTTGTTTACAGGACTGGCAAACATATTAAACCAACAATAAATAAATGAAAAAGAAACTAATTGTGGTTGCTCACCCAGTCTAGCATGGCTCCTTTCTGGTTTGCTGCTTTCCCAAACTCAAGAGCCCTTTGGCCAGATATTAGTTCAAGAAGAAGAATTCCAAAACCAAACACATCGGTTTTCTCAGAAGATTGACCTGTTGAGAGATACTCGGGGGCTATGTGCCCTACAGTGCCTCTCACTGCTGTTGTCACATGTGAATCCCTGTGATCTAACAGCTTTGCCAGCCCAAAATCTCCCACCACAGCCTCACAATAATCATCAAGCAAGATATTTGCTGCCTTCACATCCCTGTGAATAATCTTTGGATCACACTGTTCATGCAAATATAGCAAGCCTCTTCCAGCTCCTAAAGCTATTCTCTTTCTCGTAGGCCAGTCCAAAGCTGGCTTGGCTGTTTCATATAAAGGTAATGAATCCTCCTACTTCATAAAACAAATGATATGTTTGGAAATTCAAAACAATTCTTTTACTTTGGTTTTAAGGAATTAGGAGTGCATTTGAGTTGACATTTGCATAAAAAGTTTCATTTGTATGACAAAAGACCCAAGAATACTGCTACTGGATATATGTACAAGTTATTAGATAAAATACACATTTGGCCCCTCATCTATTTGTTTTTGCTTTCATTTTAGTTTGGTCTCTAAATTTAAAAGTTTTTAATATTGGATCCTTAAAACATCTGTGTTGGACCAAGTTGGTCTTTACATCAATATACCATATTAATTTGGTAACTAGAAAATTGTAAGAGATACATGTTTGTCACCTTAGCCAAAACTAATACTGTTAGTACAAAAAACTAACAGAAGCACCATTTGCCTAAGCTACTCAAGTGAAATTCTTAAATATAGGAGATCGAAGGGAAAGCAAAAGAGTATGGGACTAAGTGTATCTTATCCAAGCTTGCAATCAAGTCCTAGAAAGTGACTGCCTCTGTTCTTTTGCTTACTGAAAGTACTTGTTTATACAAATTAGTCCTTTGAGATATAAAATTGTTTACAAGTTAACAACTCAGCTGGACTAACTTGTTAGCCAGTTAAAACTTTTGGAGGATCAATTTGCATAAACATGGACTTACAAATACTAAAGTAACACAAGCTACCAATTTGAAGAACCAAATTGTGTTAAAAACTATATAAATTGTAACAGTAATCTAGCAGTATAAAATTGTCATACCTTTCAGACGGGAAGCAACACTTCCATTTGACATGTACGGATAAACCAAGAGCCTCTCTGTAGCTGTCATGCAGAATCCATATAGTCGAAGAAGATTCCGGTGGACAGCTAAGCTGATCATCTCAACTTCAGTCTGGAATTGGATCTCACCTCCAATGGCATTACCGTCTTTGAGCCTTTTTACTGCTATAACTGTACCATCTTGGAGATACCCTTTGTAGACATTTCCAAAACCACCTTTGCCAATCAAGTTCTTGCTGCTGAAGTTGTTTGTAGCAAGCTGAAGTTCTCTGAAATGGAACTTCTTGAGGTTTCCAAGGCAAAGCTCTTCACGGTGTTGTTCTAAAATAGGAAGAAAAGTTGAATTAAAGAAGAGTAAATCAATGATATGCCTACCAAGTTGGCCTATGAACCCTTAAGTTCAAGATCACTGACCATTAACATCAAAGAATATTTGCTTGTTATATCTTTGTCTCCACCAGATGAGGAAGCCAAGTCCCAGAACTAGTAAGCATATGCAGCTTAAGCTTGAAGCAAACGCCAAGGCTACTTTGTGACTGTTTGGCCTTTTGGTGGATTGTGTATCTTGAAAAGCATTTCAGGAAGTTGTGTTAGGGTATGAAGGTAATTTGCATGCAAAAAGAAAAAATAAATACAAGGGTGGAGAATGATGAAAACAATGATTATAAACACGCAAAGACAACCTAGAACTTGATAGTTTTGAACAGTTTTGTGAAATAATTATGCACCCCAAAACAGTACTTTTGGACTAAGTGTTAGACTAAGTCCACTATATGACAGATAAGAAGAAACGCTTTAGATGCAACATCATGAAGGTGAAAAATCATAAAGAAATCTAAAACATGTAAGAACTATGATTACCTTGAGAATTATTCGGAGCCGAAGGAATTGACGTTGTTCTGAAGCAGTTCTGCTCGACTCCAGTGGCACATATCTGAGGATTGCCTACAATACTGTTTCGAAAGAAAGAAAATATACAATTAATTAATAATATGTAAGCAAAATTTATAATTTTAACTCACGTGAGGAAAACAGAGAAAATATTGAATGAGAAAAAAATAAAAAAAATTAAGACCAAACACCTTACTTGAATGTTTTTGCATTTATTCTTGGTACAGGTTCACTCAAGTTATTATAAGAGATATCCCTAAGAAAAATTCAGAAGACAAATAATTGATCAGTAATCAAGTTAATGAGGAGGAAAAAAATAATAAATCAATGATAGAGGACTAGAAGAGACTTACAGAAAGGCAAGTTGAGTCATGTTAGCCAAAGAGGAAGGAATAGGTCCAGTGAGACTGTTATTGTTTAGCCGCCTGATAAAAATTCAAATTCCTATCATCAAATTCTTGATAGAAATTAATACACATTTTTGTAAATCCTATAAAAGAATGCATAGCATTATGTTCTTGAACTTACAAATAATTGAGACCCTTCATGTGGGCAAGAGAATCTGGAAGTTGACCAGTGAATACATTGTCAGAAAGATCAAGAGTCTGAAGCTTTTGGAGCCTTCCAATCTCATAGGGGATTGGTCCTGTTATATTATTATCCTGCAGAAGCCTACAAAATGCATAGTATGATAATATTCTTAGCACAAACTTTCCCCGATTCTAATTTTACCACAAATAGCATGTTACTCACACAGTCAAGAGGTTAGGTAAGTTGCCTATGCTTGATGAGAGTTTGCCAGATATATTTTGGCTTGGAATTCCACTGAAAAAGAAAAGTGTGAAATAAGTAGAAACTTAAGAAGCAGAAAAACAGGAAGTTGAATATTTCCTGTTATGGTTTGGTTTGTTCTAGTTTGACTTACAGGGCAGTGACAAAATGATCAGAAGAACATGTGACCATAGCCCAGTTGCAAGGATCTACAGCATCACCATCCCAGTTACCCAAGACAGAATATGGATCCACCAGAGCGTTCTTAATGCTCATCAGAGCTTGAACTGCATGTAAGACAAGCATTTATTAGGACTAGATAGTGACCTTACATTTTTGTGCTCTAAGATATAAGGGAAGTGCTCCTAGTCAATCACCTTCAGAGTTGACACCTTTAGGAGAAAGCAAACCAGCCACTGAAGTCCACAAGAAGAACAAAGCCAAACAACATAGAGCTACATCCCCTCTTTTCTCCATTGGGTTGAATGAAGAATCACCAGAAACTAATATCCGTTATTACCACAACAAAACTGGATCAAGTTGTATCTTAAGGAGGAGGCAAGTAAAGAGCAGGTTTTGAATGATTCAGCTAACACCACCAAATCCAACTTGGTTTGTTTTTGTTACATGTCATGTTTTACATCAGAAGAGGAACCTCAACCAAGTCCAACAGTACCATTCCCACCTGCTTCCAAGCCAGAATTGCACTCACTTCCACCCTTGTGTCAGACTTGAATCAGAGCCAATGGTAAAAAGTCTTAAAAGAGAGCCAGCGTGCCTGTTGATAGTTCAACAAAGAAAGCAAAGCAAAGAATATATAATAAAAAGACATAAGGCACCCCCCTCCATTACCCTCTTTCTAGATAAATGCAAAGGATGATTGAAAAAGAAAATTCCATCAATCATGCATTGGTCTAAAGAGCAGGAGTGTAAAGTGTTATTCTTTTCCTTCAATTATAATACTTGAAAGAAAAAAAAAAAGTGAGAGCAAGTGAAGTATTATCTGTTAAGCACTGTGAAAGTTTGGCTCGATGGACCTTAATCAAAAAAATTAACTAAGTGGGTCAGTGAGTTTAGCTGCCATCAACTATGAGAGAGAGAGAATGAGAAATAGCTCTTTGATATTTTAAGCTCTCTCAGTGTCCTGTAGAAAAATTAGAATCCAAAAACATTCCCTGTCCCTGAGGTATGCCATTCATTATCTTTAGTACCGAACTCCACTTTCTTTCGATTTATTCAATTATTATGAGAAAAAGTTAGAATCCCAAGGGATTGAGGTTGAGATTGGTGATGCAATGGCTCCTCCTTATGAGATCTTTGTTGTGTCAATTATGTCTCCCATTTTCTCTCACTGTTACTTTCTATTTTCTTTGGTCATGCTAATCTTAGTTGGCCATGCTTTATTGATCCTCAATCACTCATTTTGTCTCCAAATAATCACATTCATCAGACAGTTCCTCTAATAAACAAGCCAAAAGCAGCCTACTTTTAAAAGCAAAAGCTGTTCTCACACTGTTCTGAATCATCCCCACAAGAATCCCCAAACTACCCTCCATAACTAACAAGCCAAGGTGAGGGCTTTTTAGTTTTTACCATCATTGCTGTGTCATGAAGTACAAGGGGTGTGAGATGTCTATTCACTCCCGTTTTTACAGGAACTTTTATTTTTAATTTTTCATCAAAATTTGCTTTGCATATCAGAGCTGACATGCAGAACCCACCAAACAACAGAACTGACACCCTGTTAATATAAAATTTGTTTCCTTATTACCGTACTCAGATTATTCCAATCTCAAATTAGAATCACAAAATCTTAATCATCGAAATTGGAGTGTAATTCCACACACAATGCATGTTTTCTGTCAGCTGTGTGCACAGAGTTCTATTTAATCTCAAGTGATTCTTTTTATGCTACTTTAAAATTCATCTGAAACTCACAACTACAATTAACTTTTATATATACAACTTTTTTTATCTGATATATATGCAATTTCTCTAAGAAAATAAAGCTAGCATGTATGGTCCAGCTGTAAGATGTACCTTAAATAAAGGCATAATATAATAGTTTTCTTTAGCAATTCTCACATTACTTTATTGAGTTTGTAATTTTTTTTTTTCAGAAATTTGTAATTTCCTTATAAATTCTAGTTTCTATTTCTTTCTCTTGAGATACAAAACTATTTTTGTGAAAAAGTTATAAAGCTGTTTAACATAATACCAAAGCAATGGTTACAATATTGATCTACTCTAAAATAAAACAATGTTAAACCAAAAAACAAAGGTCATGCTTGAAACACATTCAATTACTCAAAGACCACCATAACTTTTTCTATGAACTACTTGATGGACGTGCTCAACCTAAATGTGGAAAAAAAAGCAAAAAATCGATTATGATATTTTCTAAAATCAAAACATAATCTTATGCTATTATATTTGAGGTCTTGTTTGTTTCATATTTAAGAAAAAATATTTTTTTATACTTGTGTGTTTTTGTTTTTGATATTTTGGTGAAAGGGGTGAGGGTTGAAAGTTGAAACAGGTCTTCCTTTACAGGCAAAAGTGGTCCCATGGCTTCCATCTGAAACAGTAGCTGTGACCGCATGATTGCATGGTGCACTGTAGCACCTTGGTGCACGTGCATTACAGACCCCACACCAATATCACTCACTTCACTCTTCCACCATCAAAAATATTGGACTGAAGGTGTCTTAAGAAAAAAGTTTCTCAAAAACAATATCCATAGTGTCATAAGGAAACAAAACCCAGATGTGATAATTAGTCTTTTTATTAGGTTAGTTAATTAAGCTACTTTGGTTTTAATTAGTTTTTTGACAATGATATTACACCTTTTCCTCATCCTTCTCAGAATGCTCACCCTTCATTTCCTTGTGTGTCTGTGGATTGAGATTTTTATTGTGGAAACTAATGAATGAATTCATCATTATATTGATTAGATATTCTCGATAAGAAGATATTTTAATTAATCTGTGGTATTATAATGTGATCATTTATTAATTAACTATAATAGGTTCATAGTATGCATAACGAGTGTTTAAGGAGGGTTGGAAATTTTAGAAGAAGGACTAAATTGAATAATAATATATAATTTAAAATTAATTGTTATATAAAAAGATAAAAGAGAAGAAAAGAAAGTAGAATGTGTAAAAGAGAATAAAAAAATATTTATTATTATTATATATTATTTAAAAAACATTTCATTTTACAAAATTGTGTTTACAAAGCATACTTTCAATTTTATTTTTAAAAAACAAACTTTATTATTATAAGAAAACGGAAGCCTCGTATTGAAACATACTATTTACTTATTTTCATAAATTTGAAAACTTTATTTATTTCAGTAATTTCAGAAAATAAATTACAGTAATTAAGTAAAAGACTGATAGCCGATAATAGAAAAGTTGCTTAGCCTTCTAAAGGATTTCGATCGACATGCAATGCATTCAAAACAATTGAAAAATTACTGATATTATTTTATTGCGAGAAGCAAATAACTGATATTATTAATATATAGACTTTGAATACATAATTCTTTTTAATTTAATATTTAAAGTGGCATGTAATTCTCTTTCAACAATTTTATTTTATTAATACCCATTTATTCCAAAAATATTTTGATTGGAGATCCTGATGAGCACTACTTGAGAATAGTACTACTGCTACAGACCAATCTTTACGTATTAACATGATGCGGCATGTAATTAACATTTCGTACTTTCTTTTTATGTTCGTTTTATGGGACTTTCTTTGTTTTGCCACACATGTCTGGTCTCCAGTTCTTTTCTTCTTTTTCTTCCTTGTGGGGTTTCACTTCAAACTCATCACCTTATCCTTTCAAATAATCCCAATTCAAAAATAAAACATTGACCAAGAATCACCCAAACTCAGTTAAAAAAACTATATTCACAATGATTCCATAAAATAAAGGTACACGTGGGAGAATGCCAACATCATTTATGGGTTATGGTCTATATTATGAGTATTGGTTATCATGGATGGAAAGAAAACCTTACATGATGAGGACATGGAACTATGCACTGGTTCAGTTGATGCAATCATTACTGTTGTTATCTGAACTAGTAAAGGCAAGAAAAAAATATTTGTAAAAAATTCTTCAATAATTAAGTCAAAATAATTACAGTAATCACTACAATAAATTGTTGTTGATGGATAAAATCAGTTGATAATAATAAAAATTCATCCACAGCTATTATCGATGGATTATTGATGAACAAAAATTTGTCAAAAATTATGTTGTCGGTAAATATTACCAACGGATATATCTGTCGGAAAATTTTATGGGTAATTACCGAAGGATATATATATCCGTCGGATACTATTGTAGATAATTATGGACGAATATATCGGTCAAAAATTGCTATCAAAAAATGTTATACATAATTACTGATGGATATATTTATCGAAAAATGTTGTAGATCATTACCGACGGATATATTCGTCGGAAAGTGTAATAGGTAATTATCGATAGATATATCCATCGGTAATATCCTAATATCTTCCTGATTCAATTTAATTTTTCAATAAACAATTTTCCCTGCATAATATGACACATTTTATATCAGAGGCAACACCAAATCTAGTTTCACTATTTCAGATCAAATTCAACTTAAATATAAGACAAATAACCTCAATTAAAATCAAACATAGTTAAAATAACCTCAATTCAAACAAATGACATATAGTTCAAACTATTTATAATGAAACTTAATGTGTAAGAGTAATTATACTTAGAAAGTATAATAATGTCAAATGCAATATTATTTGACAAAATATCTAATAAGGGGAATAATTAGGAGACTATTGTCCTTGTTATTCTGGGTTGTCCTGTTGTTCTAAGTTGTCTTCTTCTTGTTGAGGTTGTTGTTGCTTACTATCCTGTTGGTTGTGTTGGTGCTATTGAATGAGCGATTGTGCACCAGGAGGTAGGAATTGAGCGATTGCACCCACAAGTGATTGAAACTCCTGAAACTGGTACTCTAATCGCTCATTATGCTCCCTTGTTCGACAAATCTCTTGGCTGCTTGAGTCTGATGCTTGAGAGTATCAGACTCACCTTGGTAACAATCACCAAGTTGTCCAGCTCCATATAATCTTCTCTTATTTTTCCCTCCAACAGTGTCTACCCAGCAGCGAGACCTAATAAGATCATCCTCTGTAGAGTCTGTAGGAGTAGACTCTGCTTCGCCAACACAGGAACCAGCAGATGACCTAGCTTGTGAAAGTCTAGTATGAAATTCCTCCTATTAGTACAAACAAATAAATGTTGCGATATGATCAACTTTACATATCATAAAATAAATTAAAAGTGAAGAAACTTACATGTGTCTTTCTAGACCTTTCATCAATAAAATGACCTGTATTTTTTTTTATATGGGTCTACTGGAAGATTTTATCAATAAACACTAATCTCCCAAGCTCTTTTGCCTGCATTACATTGA